AAAAAAAAATTCCAAGTGATTGAGCTTTTCTCCTAAGAACCTTCCCATTGTTTGCAAAATCTTCTAACCACTGAAGTTCTTGCCATTGAGAAACGGTGCCTTATCCATGATCATGGAATCTCTGGGTGATGCAGTTAATATGACTGGGTGCTGGCCCAAATGCATCCAGAGGGACCTGGGAAAAAAGGTCTGGCAATCTGTTTATAAAAAATCAGTGCTGAAAACCTCACAGAGGGATTGATCTGACATACATGAGATTATCAGGAGGTAATTCCAACTTGACAGCAATTCGTTATGGCTTTTTAAATGCATGATCAGCAGCCGAGCCCACACTGGCATCCAGATGAGCTGAATGGATTCTTTTCACGGAGCTCTAAATGCCCAGAGAATGAGTGTGTTAACAAACCAATGCTGTTTGTCATCTCTTTAGGGGATTCCATCCCACACACTACAAGTAATGTCTTGCTGTTGTTACAAAGGAAGCCTCTCCTACCTTGAAGGGATCCTTGTTTTTAAATACTCTTCCAAGTGAATGGCATCAGCATGAGAGAAAAACTTCCTTTCTATCAACCGGAATGGAACGCTGCAGGCATCCAGCACGAGGAGGAGGACCCCAGCGCTTCGGAAGGGGAAGTCAGTGCCGTTCACCTAGAACACAAGAACATGGGCCACAGTGTGATCACCAGCGTGGTGCACTTCCAGGATGACTTAAGTTTCCAGCCCTTTCTATCTTCTGAACACATATATAATATATATTTCCAGAACTCAAAGTGTACGTTCTATTATTCCATTTGCTATCTCCCTGTAAACATATGGAAATCGTGCCTGTGGATAATCTTCTCTGACAGGACACAGAAAGACAGCCTCCACTCAGATAGGCTCAGTGATTCCTCAGTCCTCTTCATTCTCACCCAGGTACTCTCTCATCAGGGTCAAATGCAAAACTCAAGCAAACTGCGCCTGAGTTGGTTCTGACTCAGAGACCTCCCTCTGGGTTTAAGGCTGTAAACCACAACAGGAGACTGCCCTCTTCTTCCCCCAAGCCACGGGTGGATTCAAACCACCGGAGACACACACAGGCTTTGAGTTCTTAGCACAGCCCCCTCTGGACTACTTCCCCATCATGGGCCAAGATTTGTAATCCAGGGATCAAGCTGTTGCAGAGCCCAGGAAACAGAAGGATCCCCTGTACTGCTGCCCAGAAAGCTCACTTACAGTCCAAATGGATTCAGAAATCTATTAATCTATTTATCATGCCATCTACATAATCCATCCCCCTCATTAGCATTTCAGGCTGAAATATCACAGGGCTCAGACTGCCTTATCTCCTCCACTCCTCAGAAATGCAAACAGAAAAGTGGTAATAATATTACCAGGACTTGAGCCAGAGGGCACCACTATATTTTGTTTCACAAAGTGCAAGCTGGAATTTCCACAGTCATCTTCTTTACATGACTAATTTGTAAATTCTAGGCATTTCTGGATGTCATTCCTTAATTATTCCATTAGAAGCAGGGAAAATCAACACTGACTAGACTGGAAGACAAATCAACATACACTTAAACCCATAGGCTCTGCTTCAACTCATGATGTGAAAAATATCAACTATGCTAAGGGACTGACAGCACGTAACAACAACAAATGGCCAGCAATAGGGGAGCTCTGGCAGAGTGGTCCAAGGGAATCAGGTGGACAGCTGACCCACCCCTCCACACACTTAAATCCATGAGCGGCTACGTGGAAGAAAGGTGAGTAATCACCTCCTGTGCGATTTACAGCCTTGGAAGTCCAGTGGAGAATTGGCTATGAGCCGGTTCCAACTAGACAGCAAAACACATCCACAGACACAAAGGCCACGAAGAGTAAATGCTCGCAGCACTCTACCTTCCCTCATGTACGTGGACTCTATGGCATTGAGTTCGGTTTGTTTTGGAAGAGATCTGAGAAAATTCAAAACGGCTTTTGCTCTAATCCAGTGGATAATTCTAAAAATTGCTGAGGGAACAGTATCACTTTGTATCAGGAATGGCTTAAAGTGATTCACTTATTTGAACATGTTTGAACACGTAAACTGCAGTGGTAATGAAGAAAGAAAACATGGCGCTCCATGCTCTCTTGAGTCCCAATTCCTCCATACACAGCAAAGACATTTTTTAAATGTCTCAGACCCTGGGTGCAGCCTGCCTTAGCTGCTTTCTTTTTGTAAGACAGCATCTTCCTTAACTACTAGCAGAGCAATGGGCTCAAGCACTTACCACTTGCCTTTAATAACAAGCTTCTACCACCTCGTCAGCAGGTGCACATGCAGCTGGCTTCACTGAGATGCTGCCCTAACCACCTGTGTGCCCTAATCAACCACATGCCTTAACCAACCAAGTGCCCTAACCACCTGCGTGCCCTAATCAACCGCATGCCCTAACCAACCAGGTGTCCTAACCACCTGCATGCCCTAACCACCTGCGTGTCACTAAAATCACAGAACGAACTTATTACAAAGCGTGTGTCTGCTGAAACAGGAGGAGTAGAAACAGATTAAGGAATCTCAGAATTACATTTAAGGAACAGTATTAATTCAGAGGTGTAAAAAATTAAACTTTCATTTTTATCTGCGTATCTGTGGAGCAGGGATGCTACCCATGAGGGTTAAGAAAACCTGGATTCTGAAAGAGATCAGGGGAGACCGGGCTGAGGCTCTGGCTGGCTACTAGTTAACAGGCTAGAAATCTGTTAACCAACAAACTCTTTGTAGGATAGCCCCAGGTCAATCCAATTTTAGACAAGCTGAGACGTGGTCTGGAAAAGACACGAAACCCACTTTCCATGAGGTCAATTCTTACTCATTATGAGCCTGTGTGTGTCAAAGAAGAGACATGTTCTGTAGCATCTTCAGTGAATGAGTTTTCAGAAATAAACCTAAATGGCTTTTGTTCTAAAGCCTCAAAGAGAAAGCTCAAATATCTGACTTTTCGGCGAGCAGGCCAGCACAATAACCACTGATACCACAGACAGTGGGAAAATGGATTACGTGACTATTTTGGCTCTAAATCCAATTCTAATTTTGACACTGAGACTATTTCTATTAAGTTACTGAGAGAAGACAATAATTTGCATCTGATACATCTTTTAAAAAAATGAGGCAATGCAGCTTTAAAATAGAAACGAAAAAAAATGCTCAAGATACTGCAACTTTTATTTCCCACATTTTTCACAATCAGTTTGGGAGCTTAAGTTCCAAAAAGGCAGGTTAAGCACAGTTTTCACTATACGAATTGTTGTTGTGGTAGTTGTGTACCATTGAGTCAGAACCGACCCATAGCTGATCCTCCAGTGGGTTTGCAGAGGCAGTTAACTACACAGGAGGAGATTGCCCATCCTCCCGCGGATTCGAACTGCATGCCTTCAGGATTGCCCCGCAGATTCTCTCCACTAGGCCACCAAAGCTCTCTCTATATATATATGTTGATTGTTGGTGGTGGTGATTGCCATCAAGCATGACTCATAGAGACCCTATGAACAAAAGAATTAAGCCTTTCTAGAACTATTGTCATTTCTCAAAATTCGTCATTTCCAGAGACATGTTGTGTAGGAAGTGGATGCCACTCCTGCTTCCAATATATTGATTACTAGGAAAACTTCTTTTAAGCAAAAATGCCTGTTCTCTTATAGAAAATGAATCCGCCTCACCTGTAGCATTCCTACTACAGAGTGAAATGTTAACAAATTTCAGCATTAGCTCTAAAATTAGCAAATGCACTCTCCTGAGGGGGAGGGAAGAATAATATTACTTATAAATGCAAATATGTAGGAGGTATTTACACTTCTATTGTACTGCCAAGAAGTAATAAAAAATGATCATCAACAAGTGAATACTTAGCCAGAGGGAATGTGTGGTACCAGCACACACACACACACACACACACACACACACACACAAACCACCAGCAAAGGCTGCAATAGTGTTACTTACAGAGATAACAGTTGGGTTTCCACGTTGAATATCAGCTTTACTGGGTGACTGGAATTGCACTGGGAGGTAGCTTTTATGAGGATCACTAGTAAACACCACCTAGACAACACAGAAGTTCCACATTTATGTTAACACACCTTTCTCCAAAAGGTCCCTCAAAATAAGATGACATATCACAGATAGTCAATGTGTTCTGAACTTGTAGCAAACATCTTCCCAGTACCTGGCGTTCTTTTTGATGTAGGTTTAACATGGCAAATGCATGATCTCAGTTTTCTAAACCATTTATAATTACCAGGTTATTAAAAGAAATTCAGTAAATGACTTATCATATATGCTTTCTATTTAAATCTTTGTAAACAATTCATAAAAAAGTCATATATCTGGGATTGTGCTTACATGAAAGATTGAAATATATATAAACCAGACTATCAGTGGTTACCACAGTGGGAGGGAGAAAGAAAAGAGAGAATAGAGATACACTAGAAAGTGACTTCAACACATGGGAAAGTATCACTAATTAAGAGGCTAGATGCCTGAATCAAGCTCTGGAGGGTTTTCTCTGTCTGTTCTGAGCCTCATCTCATGATCTTCACTATTTTAGTATCTCTGTTTCTTCATCTCTACTCTGATCAGCTGCAATCTTGCCTCATTAACATAAGAGAGACATCGCATTTCCAAGTGGGATCATAATCACAGACACAGAGTATCAGATTTACAACACATATTTTTAAGAACATATTTCCAGTCACAACATAGCATTTGTTATGGATAATGGAATAAACTGGGAAAGGGTAGTGATGATGTTTATTCAACTTGAAGAATGTTCTCCAGACAACTGACTTCTATAGGTAAATATTGCTAAAGTGATAAATGTTTTGTGTGCATTTTTCTCCACAATATAAAGAAAAATTATGAAAGTTATAAAATACATACTTAACAACAACAAGTCATAACCCTTTACAAGGCCTTGATCCAATAAATATTCCTAAACTGGGGCCCAGTCATGGTAATATTGAGGGAAGAAGGGTAGATAATAAACATCACCCTGTTTAAAGATTCTAGTGGACTTCTACATTACCAGATAGAAACTCTTTTTCTTAACATACAATGTCCTCCTGTAAACGGAATCACATCTTATAAGTCCTGATTTCGCACTGTTTACCCACATGCCTTTCCTCAGAAGCACTTCCTCTACTCTGCTCTCACTTGGCCTTTGCAGATGCTGCTCTTGTATCTACACTGCTGGGTCCCAATTCCAAGGGTATCTAACTCAGCTCAATAAATTAAAAAAGCCCATCTCCTATCCCTTCCCCAAAGATTCTCTCTTCTTTAAGTACACTTTTACTCTCATACAATACAATACTTTAAAAGTCTATCATCCTTGTAACTCAATTATGAATTTCATAGTAATCATATTAAGTATTCACAGTCCAGGCAGGCATTCTTTGAAGGCTCTATAGTTTGAAAGAAAAATTTATATGACTTTTTCTACTTCCTCCTAATATATATGTATGTATGTATGTATATATGTATGTATGTATATATATATATATATAAATATGTTGTTGTTATGTGCTGTCGAGTCGCCTGCGACTCATAGCGACCCTGTGTGTGTGTGTGTGTGTGTGTGTGTGTGTGTGTGTGTGCGTGCGTGTGTATACACACACACACACACTCTTGAAATGGGTGGGGGAAATCTCCAAAACTTCCAAATAAAAGTGATGTTCCCAGATACTTTAAATGTTGGCAATAATGCAAAATGTTTAATCAATAAATTATTTAAAAATGAGTTATGATCAGTGTTTCAGACATAAAGAATACAAAATGCTAAGTATTATTGCCTATGGCATCCACTTCTTAAGCAGCATGCCTCTGGAAATTCTATGAACTTTGGTAAGTGTTGATAGTTATAGAAAGGCTTCAGGCCTTTTGCTCATATGGTTAGTATGAGTCATGCTCCACTAGATGGCAATCAACAATAACAACAACACATTTAACAACAGAGGTCTAGAATACTTCCAGACAGCAAAAGCTCATTAATTTTATATATTCAAATTTTATTATAAATTATATGTCTCTTCAGCAATGAAGTTCTTTCTTGACAAAGCCAATCTAAGAATTAGGCTTGGAGACATTACTTCCCCACAAAGCCGACCTTAAAACACCACTTTCACTGTGCAGCCTTACACAGGGCAAGCAAGAACAGGCCCACTTCTCTTCCTCAAGGGCACAATTCTTACTTTTGGTTTTAGTTGCACTGGAGACTAAGGGCAGTTGAAGGGTAGGTATGAAAGATCAGTATTACTGTGATAGTGAAATTGCCACCGTAAAAATATTTATTACACACTCTAATGGAAACATTCATCCATCTTTCTCTGCTCTTACCAGTGCTACCAGTGGGTGAAATGAAAGAAAAATAAAGAACTTATGCAGCAGAAAAGAAGTTTTTGTTTCCTCAAACTACTTAGATAAGAAATGAGAAGGGGGAAGATTTATGAGGCCATTCCCCATAATTACCGACAGTATGCAGCTTGTGGCAATTGCGTTCCATATTTTTCAGACATGAAAGAAAAAGAAAAAAAAAGAAAGAATTGTTGCTTTATAAAGTAATCTCCTTGCTCAAACGTGTCAGGGAGCTCTGGGTGTGTAGTGTGCGGGAGTCAGGCTGCTGACACATAGGTGGTGGCTCTGGCGGTTTCAATTCACTGTGGTTCCAAGCAGGAAAGAAGGATTATCTCCTCCTGTGTGATTTAGTGTCTGAAAACCTTCTGGAGGGTCAGCTAGGAGTTCGTTCCAACTCGGCAACGGCGTACTGTGCTCAATGAACCTCAATGTGTAAATATGAGAGTGCCCTGGGGGTCTTGTGAACACATATTACTGGACCCCACCTCCAGTTTCTGATTCAGGCAGGCTGGGTAGAGCCCAAGAATGTGTACTTTTATCAAAAACTTCTCAAGGGACGCTGGTGCTGTTGGTCCAAAAATTGGTTCTCTCTGCCCATATTTATGTAAAGATTAATTTACAAGTCAGGGTAACATCTGCTCTTTTTTTCACTTGGAATTGGCCTAAATAAATAGCTTTGGAACTCTCCCAAATGCCTGATTTTTAGCTCATCTTGGTTTACTTTCACTGGTCATGCTTTCTCAAGGTCTGAAAGGTAGTCAAAAGAATGACAAATTGGGAGCATTTTCACTTTGAGTTACAAATAAATAAATATGACAACATATGCTTGGAAACTAAGGGTGCCTTTCTGCCAATTTGCACAAGAGCTGCACTTTCTGAAGAGGAAACTTCACATCACATGTCAAACCAACTATTTTATACACACACACACACACACACACACACATATATATATATATATATACCACTGGCATGTAAACCAGAAAATAGTATGTAATAAAATTGCATAACTGAGAAAGATGACAACTGATGTATTAACTTCTAATTTCAAATCAGGTAGAATCCTCATTGATTACTGGCCCCATAAGTGTCAGAGGCAAGCTTTCAATGGCTGATTTTTTTGGATGTAGACGGACTTTCAGGCCTTTCTTCTGCAGTACCAGTGGGTGGACTCATACCTCCAACCATTTGGTTTATAAACTCAACGCCATCAATTCAGAACCAACTCAAAGCTGACCCTCCTGAGGGTTTTCAGAGACTATAATCACATAGGAGGAAAGTACCCATCTTTCTCCACTGGAGCAGCTCGTGGATTCAAACCACCAGAGTCACCACCTGTGTGTTAGCAGCACTACAGACTGCTAGCAGAGATAAGCCGAGTACATTAACCATGTACACAACACTAATTTGCTTCGGATGAACATTATATTTTAGAAAGAGTCAACTGTCAGAAGAAATCATCCAATGCATAGAAAATCGTAACACAAACATTTCCAAGGCCATTCCTACTGTCAAGGAGCCTCTGCTTTTCCTTTCTGCCCCGTTTACCTGTCTGGTGCCACAGCCTCGGCAGGGTCCAGAAAGCATGGCGGGCATCTGCTTGACTGCTGACGGCTTTTGATAATACTGGGGATATGCTTGGGCCATGCAGTTACTGATGTCTTTCGAGTCTGTCGTTGCTTGGATCTTGACTCGTTCACATCCCTGAGATGAACAGTAACTGTGGCCATCTCTGCTACCTTTGGCTTTGAGATACAAAAACAGTAACCTGCACAAAGCACAAATAACCCACTTGGTATCAGATTTAGTCTCAGAAACTTGGGAACTTCCTCAAATAAGACTCAATGTCAAAATGATCCTCCTCTTAAAAAGTGATGTCTGTCTTTAAAAACTAAAGAAACCTACCCATGAATACAATTGGTTATCTTTCTCTACGACTAGTGACCTAAGTTGAATGTACTAAGATGTTAGATAATATTTGGATCTCCTGCTTCAGTAGTTCTGGAAGGTATCAAATTTGATTTCTGGTTTGAATTAGCCCAATAAGGTAATTTGGGAGGATGGAATTTGGGTTGGCTGAAAAATTCCTTGGAAAACTTGATACTGGTGCTGAGCTTAGGATTCAGTAAATTAATGTGGTTTATTCTATTTTTTGGAGAGGTTCATAAATCATTTTGGTTTAAGGCACAAAGCTGGAATAATAAAAAGAGAAATTCTGACTTGTTCAGCTAAGGCCAAGATATCGTTTCAAATCAGTTCCTGTGATGTTTACCAAGAGCAGATGGTCTTGGGGTCCTTCCATCTGTGCCGGGGCCAAAAGAAGGCAAAATGAACAATCCCACCCGTTCTGGATTATCCTCCCACTGCCAAGATGAAACCAAGTCTAACTTTCAGGCAGTGATCCAACATCTGTCAGTGAATCTGATCCCTCAGAGCCAGAAGGAAGGCAAGATTCTAAAGGACTAGATCAAATGGGATTGATTGCTGGAGACCAGGAAGTCAAACTATGACAGTCAATACTATGTCAGTGCACCATGCAAAGTTGCAAGTGAGAAATAAAAATCAGTCACTGTCCTAACATCCAGTAATTTTAATACATACATGCAAGGAATGACAAGGGCCATGATTAGACAATTACATAATCACTGAGATATACACATATAATTAAGAGTCAAAATGAAGAGGATTAAAAATAATAAGATTTACACCTCAGAGAAGCAGAACCACAACACAGAACCAGTCCCACCAGGACTAGAAACTAGTTTCCATCTTTTTACATGTTTAAGCATTAATCCTACTGGATGTCATCAGACAGCCCTTATAATTTCGATATTCCACTTCTTTCTGTGAAAATGTACTCCTGTAAAGTACTGAATAAATTTCATGTAATCATAAATCCAATTATAAATGAAAATTATGGAGAGAATATTTAAGCTCATCACCCAGGCTGCTGGAGAGTCACTGGACAGTAAGGTGCAAGTTAATCTAAGGGTTACATGGCATTTAATGACTGAACCCCAATTTTGATGGCCCTCATCAATCTTGTTCCTTGGAAGCAAAGGTGGTGAAGCTTCATCTCACATATTTTGGACATGCTGTTAGAAGAGGCTGTTCCTTGGAAAAGGAGATCACGCTTGGACTCAACAGCATTTAACAACAAAAACAAGTCAATCTTACTCCACTCTGCCTCTCTGCTCTGATCACGCCATGCCCCGTTCTTACATGCCTCCATGCATCTGTAGACATTGTTCCCTCTGCCTGGAACTGCTTGTGTCATCCATCCAGGCTTCCATCACCTCTTACTTACTTACTCCTCAATGGTCCAGAGTCATCTTGTTGGGCTGACACTGGCTGCCTAAACCTGAACCCTGTAAATCCCACTGAATATCTCACTGCAAAACTTACCTTTTGCTTACTAACTTAATCACTAAATTCTTCAATGTATTATGAATGCTCAGAATTTAAGAAATGTGTCTTATTGATGTTAGAATCCTTATAATCCCTAGGCAGAGACACATAGCAGAAATGTCAGCTAAAGAAATGGTCACTGAAGGAGCATGCTCCTTGCTGAAAAAGTACAGAAGATGGAGCCCACCAGAACCCAGAGGCTGACAGACTGTAACTGGGAAAAGCAGGCAGAGCCACCAGCACCCCAGGAGAATAGGATTAGAATTAAAAAGTGGAAAGACGCAGCCTAGAGAAAGCTGGCAGCAGATATGCCAAGGTTATACAGTGATTTTGAGAAACACAAGGTAAACTGAGACAGCTTTCAAGTTAATAGGAAGAAGAATGTACTTCTAAAATAGGAACAAGATCTTACATAAATAATCATTTTAAGAGTTATTATGAAAAATAATTCTTTTAATTTCCAATTTGGCCTAGCAGTTCTTTACCGACAAGGATAATTTCTCCCTAAATTGCCTTAATAGGTACACGGCAAACATTTTCTCTCAGTCCCTACTGACAACTATAATTACAAGTCATTCTCGTTCTCCTCGCTAAGCCTCTAATGGTGATGTGCACAGAATTATCCTGCAGCAGCTGCTTTAAGCACCATCCCATCATGGCCTATTCTTAGTTACTCCAAAGAACTAGTAATTTCACCATTAAAGAAAAACAGCAAGAATCCACCACCCTCCATTCCACTGAATTACCCAGTTTTGGAGTCAAAATAGAACTTCCTCTCGGACTGCTTCCTCTGCAGCTCTTCCAGAGACTGGACAGGCTCATAATCTTCCATTCTGGACAGAGAGCCATTCTGCCGCTGTAGAAAGCCAAAGGTCACCTGGAAGCTTGTGCTCGCTGGATAGCAGAGGCCCACTCGGATCCAGTCATTCCTAGGAGGGAGTGACAACAAAAACTCCATTCAGTTGTGTTCTGGTATCTTCTTTTGGTTTTTAATATAGTAAAAAATGCTAAGCAAACCTTTGCCCGTTTAACCATCGGTAAGTGTGCAGGTCAATGACCTTTGGGCATCCCTGGTGTTGTTTAACCACTGACACCATCCATTTCATCCATTTTCATCCCCTGAGGGAATGAGTTATTGGTTCTGAGTTCTTAAGACCACAGTCTTAAAGAACATCAAGGTCATTGGCACAAGGCAATCCGCAAAGGCAATGCTGTACACTCTCCGGGCTGAGCAGTAGGGGGTGGTTCTCAAAAGCTAGCAAGGAGCCATCTAAGTTGCAACAACAGGCCTCTCCCTGCCCAGGACAAAGAAGAAGCGTGAAGAAAGTACAGGCATATGGAATTAGTGCAAAGAACTAAAGGGCCACGCTCCATCACCCTGAGACAGGAGCAAGACAGTGTCCGGCAACCAATGTTGACCACTCTAAGGGGCACCAAAGTAGAAGGTTGGGGCAGGTCCTGGGAAAGTGTGCAGGAAAATGGAGAATAACACTCAAAACCACAAAAAAGACCAGGTTTATTGATCTTACAGAGACTGCCGAGCTTGGAACAAAACTCACCCCTTGGCTAAATTTTCAGTCAAACAATCCAAAACACTTTCAAGCTCACTGCCATCAAGTCAGGGCTGGCTCACTGTTGATCTCCCAATAGTTTTTGTAGGCTGAAAATCGCACAAGAGGGGCCTGCCCACTTCTCCACCTTGGAGTCACTGGTGGATATAAACCACCTGAGGCCTTTGGGTCAGCAGCACAACCCCTATAGACTAGGTCCCCGGAGCCTCCAAATCAAACAGCAGGTATGTAGCTTGAAGGTGATCAGCAACCCAGACAGGCACGTGATCCTTAGAACCATGTAAGATCAAAACAGGAAAAGCTGCCCAGCATTTGCCCTAAAGCCAGGAAGGGGTGGGATAGAAGGATTAATGGGAATGAGGATTACAGCAAGGAAGTAGGAAGAATGTAATTATATCATGGGTACTGTAATTAATGTTAGAAAACAAAAGGTGCGTGAATGGTTGAATGAAAAACCAAGTGGCTTTGGAGACTTTCACCCAAATTACAATAAAGGGGAAAAAAATTCTTTTCATCATCTTAAAAACAAACTGAACCCTCCTTAGACACTAAATCCTGCCCTTCCTCTTCCCTCTGGCCCATAACCACCAAGAAACCTCATTCTTCATTTTCCCTCTAGACAGTTCAAACAAATAACCCCAAAACTCAAACTAATTGCCATCAAGGTGAAGCCAACTCATAGCTGCTGCTCCAGTGAGCTTTTGGGAACGAGACTGCCTGTCTTCTCCCACAGAGCTGCTGGTGGATCCGAATGGGCTGCCTTTGGGGCAGTAGCTTAGCTCCCTGGAGAGGAAGATGCAGTCATGCATCATCTCTCTCCCTCACTGCCAATGAGTCGGTCCCAACTCACAGTTGACCTCTACTAGGCTTCCAAGGCTGTAAATCGCATACGAGGAGACTGCCCATCTCCCTTCCATAAGGCCACTAATAGATTCAAATTGTCAAAAGCAGCATGGCCTTTGGATTAGCAGTGCGACTTTCTAGGGGCTACAGCAGCAGAGATCCTTACATATGTCACAATACATTCACACAATGAGTGAGAACACTTCAGGGTGGGCAGGAGGGGGAACACTCCAAACTGTGTACCGGGCCCCACTTTGACTAGCAGCACTGGAGAGTCCTTCAACCCTTTTTCCTTTATGTTTTTCTCTTTCATTTGTATCATGAATACATAATAACTTTTACAACTTTTAAAGTTTATTTTTGCAGTTGCACTATGACAAAATGTGTGACCTCCCACAGTTAAACTGCATTAAGGGAAAAAAAACACCCATTTCCTCTGCTTGACTCTGACCACCATGTAATTTTTATTAAATTCTAGCTAATTATTTGTAGAAGGAACAGATGAATGAATTTTACACCCGTGTAGATTTTCATAGTTTATCAACTTAGGGCTCGGCTCTTCTCCTTTAACACCATTTTCTCTGCCCATTATATTAAAAATCAATAGCTATAGCCGGAACATCCAGAACTCTGCATACCATTTAACTGTTACATCTCCCTTCACGTTCATTACTCTGCTTCATGCAACTCTGTGGATTATTTCACTCTTTGAAATTTCCCTTTGCTCCTCTCTCTCTCTGACAATCATTGTTTCTCTCACTGACTTCGCTACAGCTCATAAAAAGATAGCTGTTATCAGGAGGGCTTTTCCATGCCTCACCCTGAGCATAAGTGGACTAAGGACTGGAAGTGGGGAGACCAAGTAGAAGACTATAGATAGTCTGTTGTTGTTATGTGCCATCGAGTTGCTTGCAACTCATAGCGACCCGATGTACAACAGCCCTAAACTCTGCTCTGTCTTGTGCCAATTGCACCGTCTCTGACACACCTATCACAATTACCCCAATCACTGAATCAGTCTGCCTCATAGCGGGCCTTCCCCTTCTGCGCTGTCCCTCCACCCTACCAAGCATGATGTCCCTCTCCAAGGACCTGTCCCTCCTTGCAACATGTCCAAAGTATGTTAGACGGAGCCTCAGAATCCTTGCCTCCAAGGAGAAGCCCAGTTTGACCCTTTCCAGGATGAATCTGTTTGTTTTCCTAGCAGTCCATGGTACCCTCAATACTCTTCTCCAGCACCAAAGCTCAAAGGCGTTAATTCTCCTTCTGTCCTCCTTAGTCATTGTCCAACTCTCTGATGCATAACAAGTGATAGCAAAGACCATGGCCTGTATCAGACACACCTTGGTCTCCAAAGAGACACCATTGCTCTTCAGTACTTTGGAGGGATCCCTAACAGCAGACTTTCCCATGGCAATATTGACAGTCTAGCAAAAGATAATGAAGGCCTAAAATCAGTCAAACATGAGAGGTGTTAAGAAGAAAGCTGAATGGCATTAAAGAGAAAAATATGCAGGGTTTGGTTGATGATGAGATATAGGAAAAGTCAGGGATGAATCCTGGGAATTTCAGGTTGAGGAATGGGATCAATGAGGTAGCTATTTTACAGAGAGAGCATAGAAAACAAGAGCATGTTAAAGGAGATGAGAACAAGTCATTTCGTCTACCTAACTAAGCACAATGAATCCATCATTCCCTCCCTGAGCAGAATTTGCCCAAATGAGTTGCAATCAGGATGATACCAATTCATGGCAACTCTATGGATATCAAAGGAAAACTGTGCTCCATAGAGTTTGCAATGGCTCTACTCTCAGAGGAAAACTAGGTCTCTCTTCTGAGGCACCTAAAAATATATGTGAACTGCCAACTTTTTGGATAGAATCTGAATGCGTACAGACTCCTATAACAAGACTGATCACAGAGTCAGAACCACTTCTGCAGGGTAGACTGGCCAAGTCCATTAGTCAGAATTAGTTGCTCAAACTTTGCCCATTACAAATGGTTTATTTATATATTTTTGAATGTTTTTCTACTTACATCTATAAACCTCTGAAGGACATGTATTTTTTCTCATTCATCTTTATTCTTCATCAACTGTAGCACAGCAAACATTTGAACGAGTTAACACAAAAAGAGCCTACGACCTAATCCAGTATTTTTCAAAAGATTAGCTAGTAAAATATTGCGATATCATTGAGAAATCATGAAGGAACAGATGCATAAATCCAGGGTGATGAAGAGCTGACGTTCACACCTTCAGACCTGCCTCATGCCTATGGCAGAGATTACTAATCAGTCACAACACTGTCTGTCAAGTGCAAACTTGGCCTCTCAAATCCTTCACTTTTTCCAGGTAAAGTGACTAGCTGAAACATCTGACAAAATTTTCTTTCTATCCCAGCTATAGGAAATCAAAGATTCTGAAAACTTAAAATTTATCATTAAAGGCTTTCTATATGCAATAAGAATTTATTTCTACAGAAGTTTTTCCAACGAGTGCTTTTAAAATTATGAGATTCTATTTGTAAAATATCTTAAATCCATCAATAGGAAATGAAAAATCTCTCTACAACAAGAGGCGCTAAGTACACAAGCTTCGTATTCTTCACTCCTTTTTTGCTTATTAGAGGGCTCCGTGAGTGGTGAAAACAGTTAAGCACTGGGATACCCATCAAACCAAGTTGCTTCTTAGAGGCAAGAACTTAAAAGTTTTGTCTCACATATTGTGGGCATGTAGAAGGAAGGACCGACCAGTCCTTGGAGAAGGATATCATGCTTAGAAGGGTGGAGAGACAGCGCAGGAGAGGAAGATCCTGGATGAAATGGATTGACAGAGTAATCGGGGTAATAGTAGTAGGTGTGTCAGTGATACTGAGATTGAACAGGACAAGGTTCAGCGCTACTGAGCACAGTGTTGCTATGAGTCAAGGCAACTTAACAGTACATAACAACTACTCCTCAAAAGACTGGCGGAACTGACTCAACAACAACTAATAACAAAAAAGCTCATTAAAGTTATTTTTTTCTCTCCACTAAACTGTGCCTTTTAGAAATAAGAGTCATAGAGCCATACTTGTTGAAGTTTACGAGGTATAGGAAAGCAGTCCGGGGTGCTGGGCCATTCCAGTGGATGGTGTAGCCCTTCTGCAGCATGATCACGGGCTGGTATTGCGGGAAGGCAGCCTTCTGGTTAATACCCCGCAGCACCATTGGGTGGGATGGATATTCATCTCGAGCAATGGTCATAGTAAGATTCTGTGTGCTCCACGTCTGCACATAGACCTTCAAAACACAAGCAAGGATTAAAGAGAGGGGCAGGAAGAGGTAGATAAGCACACATTTCCAGAACAAAGTTAAGGGTCACTACTTTGCAAAGATATTATTCAGATTGGATGATGTACACCAGATAAATGAACGGTAGCCAACATCTCACTAGGAGACACTTGTGAGGCAGCTTGTCCATTCTGAAATGGTAAAAACAGATCATGCATCATTCTAGCCAAGACCTTTACGATCTCTTCCACCACAGCGGCCAGCTTATTCATCAGAATGTAAAACCTCTGTGGCTTACAGAGCTTGTCAAAGCATTCTCTCAATCCGAAAAACACACATATAAAAAAATCTGCAAATTAATATGAAAACTGAAACCCTCTAACCAAACCCAAAAGACTTCCCGATAAACTACGGGAGGGAGAATTTAAGCATTCCTAGGGCTTTGATTTTCAATTTTCCATGACCTACATCAGCCAAAGTCCTTTTTCCACCAAAAAAAAAAAAAGGGGCTCTAGAAGAAGCTGGAAAAAACTTAAACTGAGACAAATTTGAAAATTCTGAATTTATTCCAGTGGTATCTGAATCGCGACCACGTGCCATTCCAAAAACAAAACCTTTCAAAAAAATTCTCCAAAACCTCAAAACCATGTTCCTAAAACAAAGCAATATTTTGTAACCAATCTCTCTCTCATTTCCACCGAGTTGCAACCAAGTAATAGCTAACCTTCCAATGAGCTTTTCAGAAGCTGTAAATAGCATAAATCCTCAAAAACTCATCCACAAGAGGACGTTCAAGTTTCTTTGCAATTACTGAGTGCCTCCAAGTCAATTCCAAATCCCAGCAACCGCCTGTGGCAGCAGACACATGACTGGGAATTTATGTTGCTGTGATCATTACAGAGACACATTTCTAGTGAAGCAGATATGGAGATTCAACCTAGAGCTCTGAGTCAACAGAGGTTCTTATCAAAAAGGCACTGCACGTCTGGCCCAAAGGTGACATTCTCAGGACAGAATCTGTGGCAAGCAGTCAGGTCTGAGTTCTGACGTGTGGCCTCACCATTCTCAGAACCTCCTGGGAAGGAGAAGACAACTTGAGTCTCTGTCTTCATCTATAAATAAAATAGAATTACTACTCTGCTCTGTGAGATGCATATTCATTCTTATACTCTCAAACATATCAGAAATCCAAAGAATTAAGTAAGCTATGGAGTAAATGTTGGAGTAGTACATACCTGTAGAGTAACAATTATAGTTTATATAAAGTTAATTGCTATTATGAGCACACAGATTTAAATACATACTTTTTTTTTTTTTTAGTAAGCACTAGCCAATATAAGACAAATATACATGAACACAAGTAGCTGGCAAGAAATTTTACTAGAACTATATCTACAAAAGAACGAAAAGCTTGTTTATGTTTTGCCTTCTTTTAATTCTGGATTTTCACTGCCAACTCAAAAGCACGTAGTTCAAATCCACCAGCTGCTCCGTGGGAGAAAAGAGAGCCAGTTTCCTCTGGTGTTATTTTACAGCTTCAGAAAACCTGCTGGAGGGTTATTTATGAATCAGTTCCATTTCAATAGCAAACAACAAATCTTGATGGGGCAACAGAATTTGAGGTTGGCAACTCAATTAAAAACATAATGAGTGGGAGGAAATTCCTTTCATATTCCTTCCACTTTCATTACACTGTCATTAATTTTCTATCTTTTCCTTGTAATATCCTGTCCCCTCAACTTCCACTGCCAAAGCATCAGGCAAGTATTACCTATTTTTTGCTCAAGGAAAGGAAGAAAAGAAAAATTCCACAACAAAGCAGTCAGTATTTCATGAAAACAAATTGGAAACTCTTTCCAGTCCTATACACATTTAAGCCCTTCTATTTTGTCTGTAGATAAAAATCTACAGTTTTAAAGCTGGAGGCATTTCTTTGGTTTGTTTTTAAGCACCACAATATGCTCAGGATGTGTAATCATGATTCTAAGTTGAAATAAATCAGCTGCTAACAAGGTGACTCCAACCCATGTGTCAGTAGAACTGTTCTCAAAAGTTATTTCTACTGGCTGATTTCTCAGCAGCACACCACCAAGCTCTTCTTATGTGTCGGTGGGTGGACTCGAACTATCAAATTTATGGTAAGCAGCTGAAGTGTCTGTTATTAAAACCTACCAATTTACTCTCTAAAGTGTAAAGTTGCTGCCTCCAGAATTCTAGATACCTAGTACCTCCATCCTACTGTTTCTTCAACCTATACAAATATTACTATTAAAATCATCTTTGCAACTTTAAGAGTCTTGCTTTTCAAATAATATTAACAGCAGAAGGCATTCACTAAGTACCTGGTCCTATGGTGATGGCTTTGCATGTATTCATTCATTCATTTGACAGTAGCTTCATGAGAAAGCAACAATAGTCTCATTGCTCCCAGGCATCAAAACCAAGAAATAGTAACTCCTGGTTGATTTTGACTTATACAGACCCTCTTGGACAGAGCAGGACTCTCCAATGGGATGTCCACGGCTGCCAATCTTTGTGGAATTAGAAAAGAAAATGTCCCTTCTTTCTCCTGTAAAGAAGGCCTTGGTAGGTTCAAACTGGCAACCTTTCCATTAGCACAGTTTAGGTTAATAAACTTGCCTGACTCATATTTAACAATTCAAACCCAAGCATTCTGGTTCCACACTTTGCATCCTTCATATACATTTAAAAAAACAAACAAAAAAAACCAAAAACCGCTAATATTGCATCAACTTCAGCTCAACAGTAACCCCTGTGTGTCAGACTAGAAATGGACTTTAGTCAAGTTTCAGTGGCTGGTTTTTCAGCAGTCATCAGGCTTTCTTCCAAGGCATCTCAGGGTGAATTTGAACCTGTAACTCGGTTAGCAGCTCAACACAATAAATATCGGTACCATTGAATTACTCTTAACCATACACCCAAATCAGTTCATCTTCTTAAGGCACCATCAAGTTAATAAGGACTCGTCATTAGATCTTAAAAGGTGTTTCTCAACCTGTATCCTCCTCTACCCATTTTCATAGACATTCTATCTTAATATGATCAGAAGTGTTTACATTGATTCTTTCTTTGTCAGCCCTGTCCCTACTTTCTGGTCACATCTTCTACCTAAAGCAGGGTTCATCTCACTTTCCAAAAGACCAATGATTATTCTACCCCTAAGGGTGGAAGTCCCACTTAGTGGGCCTAATGACCCTAAAATCAAAGGAGAACAACACTGTCTCTTCTAAGGCTCAGCCAGAGTATGGCAAGAAAGACCCAGGAAGAGTCTTGATCAAATTCTCTCTCCCATCCTTATAGAGCCAATGGCAAATTATTCTTTTCTCTGGGAGGCCAGCCTACTTGCTAGGTTTGTACGATGGAGGAAGGAAGAACTGTACTTTGAATCAATTCTATGTGTCTATGACTCCTGGTCATTCTTCCTTTCTCTTTAAGCAACACCATGCTTTGGAAAGTGGCACCCACACTGACAAGGGAGAGCATCCATCACAAACGGCGTCTGGAGGGGCAGTGAGGAAGCAGCCACATGCATGCTGAGCCCACCTGGGCATAGCTGCCACTGCAGACCACTGCATTCCACTTGGTCCTATTAACGCAGCTTGGATGGCGGATCAGGTAGTTGTCAAATCTTCCCACATAAGCATCCTTGTATCCTGTCACAGAGCCATCAACGTCATGGAATATGGAGTTCTTATCACCATCGAGCTCACAATCTTCAAACCATGGGCCAGGCTTTCCAAAGAAGACATTCAAAGTGACCTGACAGACATAAAAAAGCAAAGATGTCACAAAAGGAGGGCTCTTGTCATCTCAGACAACACACACGCAAGGATCCCACTGTATCTGCCTGATGATAAAGCAGACCTGAGTGGCTCAACCGCCTCCTAGGGCATCAAGCTGAATTTCCTCATTAACTAATGACACACATGGGGGGAAAATTACAGCGAATTACAAAATTCAAGCAGCAAATGTTAGTGTTTGTCTCTCTCCAACCCTTCCCACCCTCTCAATTAAAAAGTATCACTTGTGCTCCAGGCAAAACTCTCTGTAGTAACCAAAATCAAAATAGTTAAATAGAGGCGGTTACGCAGTTGTGTGTATTTGTTGAAAGTCATACTCTGTGTACTTAAGATCAGTGTTATCTCCCTGCATTTAAAATATCTGTTAGAATAAAACCCATTTAAGTTCTCTCTTCAAAGCTAGTTGATCATTTCAGGACACTCTACTTTAGTCCTCTGTTCATACGACTCTCTCTTCCTACCAATACATAAGTACAGTTCAAATCTGACAGTCACAAGTTTGGAATTGCTGGCCGCTGCTTTATTCACTGCTGTTGTTAGGGTCATAGAGCTGGTGGCTCTGACTCCAGCAACTCTACGCAGAGAAGGAGACCCCGCCTGACCTGCACCACCCTCACAGTCTGTGTGCATAAGTCCACTGCCGTACCCACTGCGTCAATTCACACGGAGCATCTTCTTCTCCTTCACGGACCCTCTACTTCTCCAAGCATGATGTCTCTTCCAAAGACTGGTCCCTCTTGATAACATGCCCACGGTACGTGAGATGACATATCTATCATATCATCCTGGTTTCTAAGCAGCATTCTGATTGTACCTCTAATACAGATTTGTTTGTTCTTTCGGCAGTCCATTCAATATTTTTCACCAATCCACAATTCAAAGGCATCACTTCTTCTCTGGTCTTCCTTTTTCACTGCCCAACTTTCACATTCATGATATTTTCACTTTCTTTGACATCTTTTGTGGCAAAGGGCCTGAACTGTCATCTACTCTGTCAGCTTCTCAGAGTCCTCATATTCATATGAAGCAACTGAAAATGTCATGTGGCTTTCATATGAAGCAACTGAAAATGTCATGTGGCTTGACATGTTGTGTTAAGTACTGGGCCGCTCTCTGAAAGGTTCCCAGTTAACACTCACCAGGGACGCTGTAGGAGGACGAAGGAGAGTCTTCTCCCATAACGACTTCCAACCTCAGAAACCCAGTGGGGGTTGAGGTGAGTCAGACTCAAGTTGCCTGCAGTGGGTTAAAATCACTAGAAGCTGTTCAAAGGTCTATGTTACTGCCTCTCCTCTATACAAAATTCCACTCAAAAATGATCTTGTCAGTTCTAGTTTATTAGTGTTTTTCTTCAACATTTTGTTATCTCTAGGTTTTGCAAGAGGCAAATCTGTAACCAGAGACCTCATTAAAGTACAAAAAAGCAAAGGAGTCACTTTAAGGACTGAGGTGTGAAGCCACGGCATTTGATGGAAGCCATGGCATTCTCAATCAACATGTGAAAGTAAGGAAAGGAAAAAGGACGACAGAAGCAGAACTGACACAAATTTTGGTACTAGTAAACAATACTGAACATACCATGGGCTGACAGAAGAAAAAGAAACCCACCCTGGAAGAAATACAACCAAAGTCTTCCTTAGAAATAAGGATGGTAAGCTATTGTCTCATTTACTTTGAATGTGTTATCAGAAGGAGTGAGCTGCTAGAGACAGACATCAGGCTCCATACAGGCGAGTGTCGGTAAAAGAGAGGAAGACCTCAGTGGTATGAACTGGTGCAACTGCTCCAACATGAACCCAAACACAGCAACAATTTTGACAACAGCACAGGACCAAGTAATGTTTTGTTCTATGGAAATTCTTTTCGTTTGCTTCAGGGTTTCCTAACAAATGCAAACATCTCACACCAAAGTGTGACCCTCAGCACTCACTAAGCTCTAGGTATGAAGCCTATGGAGAATTCCATATGAGCAACGCGCATCAGATGCCCTGTGCATGGGAGAGGTGCCCAGAACTCTTTAGATCTGTGTGGGAAGGTATCTACTACTCTTGTTCTTAACAGTTTCCTGGAGTCATGTTCTGAAGCCAGGTCACCCAACCACACTGACATGCTTCAGCTATAAACCAGACACAGACTTTGGTGTGCTGTTGCTAATTCCATTTCAAACTCCCTGTCAATCCCTCTCATTTCCATCAACTGGAACCAGCTTATTGGGGAACTTCCAAGGGGTCTTTTGAGGATTAAATTACATGGAAGAGACTGCTCATCTTTCTCCCTCAGAGCAGCTGGTGGCTTTGAACTGCCTGCTTTGGGGTTGGCAGCATAACTGCTTCCCCATCAGCGCTCCCAGTTGTGCTGCGTTATTGCTGCTAGGTGCCACTAAGTGTGACTCACCGTGACTTTATGAACCACACATGTGAATCCTGTCCTATCCTGTGCCATCTTCACCATCTCTGACACACTTGAGCCCACTGCTGCAGTCACCGTGTCAATCCTTCTCAATGGGGGGTTCTTCCTCTCTTTTGTTGATTCTCCACCCTTTCATGCATGATATCCTTTCCTAAGGAATAGCCACCCTAGGATCTAGTCTTTACACCCAAACCTCTTAGTATGATTAAGATAACCCACAAGCTCAATTTTACCAAATTAGATAGATGTCCTATTAACCCTCATGAAGCTCTACAACCTCAAGTGACAGGGGACTTGTTCTCACCTTGAACTCAACAGTTCAATGAACTGCATGAACTTAGGAGCAGCGTGTACCGCTCTTCTGCTCTCAGCCATAAAGACTCAGCATGACATTTTAGCTTTTTTGTGCTTTTGTCTCTGGGAATGTGCCTTCCCACCACAGTTACAACATAAGAACTATCAAGACCACTTACCTGTGGGCCAAACTTCACGAGGGAAATGTTATTCCTGGGGGTCATCTGCCAGGAATTCTTCATGAGAAAGCCGATCGCACTGCTGTATCTGTCCACAGTTGGCACATATTTTTTAAAAGTGCTCCTCCTGAGATGGATGGGCCCATCATAGATCTGAAAGCCCCTGATTGGAAATGTCCTGCCAAAATACAAAACTGTATTTAATGTACATGGCCTTGTCTTCTTACCAGCACCTCAAAAGCTTCCTTCTTTTATAAAGACTGTTTTATAAAGAATGATTCAAGGCACTATAGAGAAGGTGGTAACCAACACAAGGTAAGACACCTGCTCTAATGAAATATGAAAAGACAAACAGGAAAAACAAAGGATAACTGAGATAATACCAACTGCTGTGAAGACAATAAGACAGAGGAATACGGCAGTCAGAGAAGGGGCAGAGATGCTGTTTTGGATACAACAGAGGATGGATTTCTATGCAAAGACCTAGAGGGAGAGAAGGAAGTAGGCACGTGAAGATCTGAGCAGTGAGCATTCTAGAAAAGGGAAGAGAAAGTGCAAAAGCTTTGGGTTAGAACAAGCTTAGGGACTTGAAGGAAGGTCAGTGCAGCTGGAGCAACGTGGTGAGTGGACAAAGAAGTGGCCAGCCATCCTACCATGGAGGGCCTGCCCTAAGGTCATTATGAAGAAGTCTGTTTATAATTCTGGGCAATCACTGGAGAATTCTGAGCAGAACAATGACATGATCTGACTTTAGAAAAAAAGAAAGAACCCCTCTGGCTGCTATGGGGGGAAAAAGTCAGGAGATGAGTTAGAAGTTACTGCACTCCAGTGAGATCTGACCATGACTTGGACCAAGAAGGAAGGGAGAAAAAAATATTTGCTGACAAGTTGGTTGAGCAGTTATTTCAACGTGTGTGTGTGTGTGTGTGTGTGTGTGTGTGTGTGTGTGTGTGCGCGCGCGCGCGCTTAACTAAAACAGCTGGGTGGGGAAATGACGCTATTTAAATAACTGTAGAAAACAGGTAAATATGCACCACAGTTTCTTTAAATGGGTTTAAGAAAAGAGAAGAGCCAACTTGAAGACAATTCTAAGAACATAATGAATTTGTATCGCTTCTTGAAATCACTGAGGTAAGATGTTTGCTTTGGTAATTCATGAACTTCATATTTTGTACAAAAGTCTTTAGCAAGAACACAAAAGACTCATCTGTGCTTATGAAAGGAGAACCTCTTTTAAAGTCAATAAATGACAGTGAAAATGAGATTAAAATTATAAACACATAAATTCTCAAGGCTTTCTATGTCAAAGGTGCTAGTTAGATTAAGAAATTAATTTTCATCACGTCTTCTTTGTTGTTCAAATACAAACATCTAAGCCATAAACACAAACATAAACGCTCATAACACGCTGGACTTCTCGGGTTTCTCTTTTTTAACTGTTTAAAGGTATCGCTGAGGATATCTACAACTAATTACTTTCCACTTTAGCAGTTTAACAGTAATAGCATATTTGCTGAGGGAACTCTGGTGGCCTAGTGACAAGAAACTGCACTGCAATCCTAGAGGTAGGCAGTTCAAATCCACCAGATACTCTGTTGGAGAAAGAGGGGCAATCTCCTCCTGTACCAGTCAGATCTGATTTGATGGTACACACACAAAAAATATTAATTTTTTTTAAAAAAAGCATATTTACTAGCAACAAAATAAACCTGTCTAGTTAAAAAGTCTATATTATGATCTATTTCTTTTTTTTATGAATTTTAATGGAAGTTTAGAGAGACTGAGAGTTTCCATTTATTCATTATTGCACTTTTCTCACTGCCCACCCCAATTCACTCTTCTCCTTGAAAAGTAAAACTCTTTGATCGTTATACAATCCCTCCCCCCAAGTCCACTCCACTGTGCAGCCTTCATTCTGGACTCCTGTCATGATTATAATACCCAATCTATCACTTATTAAACAGTTCTCTCCCTCATCTGTTTCAATGCAGTATACACATCATTCCTCCCCTCCTTCTCTGTCTTCCCTCAACCCCGATGTCAGTCCCATTTTACAACAGTGGTCCTATGCATATTTGTCCTTTGTGACTGAGATCTTTCTCTCAGCATAATGTCCTCCAGGGTCACCCATTTTGTGTAATATTTCATGAGTTCCTTGTTTTTCAATGCAGCATAGTATTCCATTGTGTGAATATACCAGAGCTTCTCTATCCATTTGTTTGTTGATGGGCACTTGAGTTGTTTCCAGCTCTTTGCTATTGCAAACAAAGTCGCAATAAACATGGGTGTGCATATATCTGCTTGGGTAGTCGTTACAGTTTCTTTAGGGTAAATTCCCAGTAGTGGAATTGCTGGGTCAAATGGTATTTCTATTTGCAACTTTCTGAGAAAGCTCCATACCACCTTCCACAGTGGTTGCACCATTTTACACCCCCACCAACAGTGAATAAGGGTTCCCATTTCTCCACAACCTCACCAGCATTTGCTGTTCTGTTAAATTTTGCTATTATTACTAGGGTGAGATGAAATCTCATAGTTGTTTTGTATATTGTCACCTATTTCTAGCATTTACCTCCAAGTAGTTTTCTCTCATACAAAAAGTTAAAGGGGGTGGGGTGGGGGGGGAGTCAATGAAGACATTGTAAAAGGAAAACGGGATCCATGGTACAATGAGAAATCTTCGTTTTAGAAAATTGCTCTTAGTAAAGTGGTAATAAGGAAACTGAAACAAAACAAGAAGCTGATCTAGTATAAAAAGATAAGAAGTGACTTGGTTTCTGTTACGATTAGGGAGCTCTGGTGGTGCAGTCTGTAGGGAACCACATTGTTAAGTCAAAGGTGACACCTCCCTGCTGGCTCAGCCCCTCCTTGGGAGAAAGATGTGCAATCATCTCCCATGTGATTTACTGCCGCCAAAACCCATGGGAGGGTCAGCTACCAGTCGGTTCCAACTCCATGGCAATGGGTAGAGTTGCCGAGTTCTCTTATGGATTGAACTGTTTCCCCATCTGTGTGTTATAAATCTTAACTTCTGACTGTGGTTATAAATCTTATTTAGAAGTGAGTTGTCTTTGTTATGGCAACAAGGCAAAATTACTAGAGTGTATATCTTGAGTCAATCACTTTTGAGACACAAAAAAGATTAAACAAGCATGTGAGGAGGCAGTGATGGAAGTAGAGAGATCCCAAGCCGTGTGAAAATCACCAAGAAGCAGGCGCTTAAGGAGAGAAAGACCTGCGTCTAGAGTCAACACACAGAGAGAAAGCCTTCTTCTTAGAGCTGGCTGCCCTGAATTCGCCCTTCAGCCTTCTACGCTGAGATAATAAATTTCTGCTTCTTATAGTCAACTATGTGTAGTACTTCTGTGACAACAGCTCTAAATAACTGAAACAGCAGTCCATACCACAATGCATAGTTATTTCTTTAAGTCCATGTATGTGGTGAGGCAGTCGAAGTAAAATTGTGAAGAGCACAGCAGTGAATCCAGCCTAGCTGGGTTTGACTCTACTTCAATCACTCATTAGCTTTGATGTTGGCAAGTTACTCAACTGTACCTTTATCGGGTGAAGGAAACTGTACAAGAAAGATGGCAGCAGCTACTCTATGGAGTTTGTGAAGATGAAGTGAATGAATATCTGCAGGATAGACAGAATAGGGCTTGGTGGTATGTATTTAGTAAATGTTACTAAAAAGTTCTTTTTCCCAGTGAATCACAGGCAGGCTACATAGCATACATACAGCCTGCAGGATGCACAGTATTTCACAAAGACAGGCATAGACAGAGAGGAGCTGGAGCTTGGAAAGGTCGTGCACACACATTATGTGAACTGTCCATGTTTTCCCTTTCCCCAGACCACGTCTAGTCAAATGTCCAGAGAGAGCATTCCTCTGAGGGGGTGGATGGGTGATGGATTAGGCCACTGGCACCAGGTGTTGAGGCTTTAAGGACACCATTTAGCTGTTGTCTACTGGGTTTTCTCACAAGTAAAACGAGGACTTTCCTGGATTTGGGGCACAGATTAATTAGCTAATAGATCACTTTGAAGAATCTTCCCGGTGCTAAGTATTATTTTAATGACTCTGTGATCATGCTGACAGAAAACAAGCCAAAAGCCTGCCCCCGTCTCCCTCCAACCTCCAAAACACAGTTAATGACACAGCCATGGCAAGTTCTGAGTCAGTTTTGGCATCAGCTGGTCCTCGTTTTCTAGGACTCTTTTCAGTAGGTAATTTCCTTTTCCAGTGGCTATTTCTGAAAACCAACATTACAAACTGAGGGAAAACTGGCCTAATGTCATAGTTCTGGCTTGGCAACTTTCTGCAGCCCAAGAAAGGGGGGGAAATCAACAACTTATATAAGGCCTTATTGGCACAATAGTTAAAAGTGCTGGGCTGCTTACCAAAAGGTCATCAGTTCCAACTTCCTAGCCATTCCACAGGACAGAGGTGTGGCAGTCTGCCCCCATAGTGGTTCAGGACAGCTCTGCTCTGTCCTAGGGAGCTGCTATAAGGCAGAATCCACCTGGTGGCAGCTGGTCTGCTTTTGGTTTTATATAGACCTTATACAAGGAATGAGAAACAAAACAGCCCCTTTGCTATAAAATTGGTAACGACACCTATGAAGTTTTTAATAATTAATGCTCCAGAATTCCAGGTCAGTAATAATAAGCTCAGAAATAACAAATAATAATCAGCAAGAGAGTGCTGGTGGCGTTGTGGTAAAAAGCTGCACTGTCATCCCAAAGGCACATAGTTTGAATCCACAGCTGCTCTGTGGGAGAAAGACGGGCAATCGCTTCCTGTGAAATTTACTGCCTCTGAAAACCCACGGGAGGGTCAGCTATGAGTCAGTTCTGATTTGAAGGCACAACAACAACACAAGCACAGCAATACTATAAACATCAGTGTTGTTGGTATCGTTATTGTTGGTGGTGATAATTATGTGCCATCAAGTCAGAACCAGCTCATAGCTGACCCTCCAATGGGTTTTCAGAGGGTGCAAATCACACAGGAGATTGGGCATCTCTAGCTCCACAGAGCAGCTGGTGGAAACCACATGCCTCTGAGTTAACTCCTAGGCCAAAAGAGCTCCCTTGTAATGTTTTCTTGTTGTTGCGTACCATCAAGTTGGAACCAACCCATAGCTGACCCTCTAGTGGGTTTTCAGAGGCAGTTAATCGCACAGGAGGAGATTGTCCATCCTTCTCCTGAGGAACAGCTGGTGACCTCAAACAGTGTGCCTTCAGGATTGCAGCACAACTTCTTGCCATTAGGCCACCAGAGCTTCCTTCTAAAAGCAATGATGAAAACAGTGTTGATAATAAAGATATGGGAGGTTAAGTGTCATGGTTAAGGAGGAATCCATTCAGGATAAATACAGAAACCTCCTTGAAAACTACTTTTTCATTTGTCATTTAAATCTCACGTTCTACACACTCACCTATTCCGAGGTAAAGTCCGAGGCTTATGGTCTATTCCACCTGTGCCCATGTACTTGTTCTGACCACCCAGGAAGCCATAATTCCTGCTCTCGCCAACAAAGAGAGATTCAGACACCTCCTGGCTCGAACCTTCATCACTTGGGAAGCTTCCATCGCTGTTAAAATGAGAGCCATCCATAGTCATACTCTCTCCATAATTTAAATTCACCTTCTTGCAAAGATAAGCGGTAAATAGAAGTACCTTTAAAAGCTAAAAATGTAGTTACTTTTTCTAAAACATCAAGTCATTATTTCTTCATGTGAATTAATCAATATTTTGTGAATGTTACACAAATAAATTTATCAACTTTAAGAGCCAGAATTGAGGATTCCGGTCCCAAATAATAACTACACAAATAAGAACTTGCCCTGAATGCAAGAATTAGAGGATATAACATGTTTAAAATGACTATTATTTGAGGGAAAACAAAGAATTAAAAATTTTCATTCTTTATAATCTTTGTTAAACTGGAGCAGTGTTTTAAAAGTTCCAAACTTTTACCCCTCCCTCTTTTGAGCTCTGCTATTAAGATCTTTGGTCTAAATCACAAGCATTTTATTCTAAGAGTAAATACAATAGGCATCCCTTTCTGTGAAATTCCTCCTATATTGAAGCTACTATTCAAGTTCATCAATTTATTACAAATGCCTGGCCCTCTAGTGGCTTCAGGAAAGGGGTGCCAATTCTTAAAATAATACTGGTATTGTGTAACTTTCTTATGTGTAAACCAAAAGTCAAGAATTCTTATCTTACAGTTTTAAAATGGTCAAGTCAGTAGATATCTAACCAATTACAAACCTGGCAAAGGTCAGTCCTATTCCATTATCTGCAAACCTGTAAGAAAAAAAAAAAAGAATAAGGGGATATATAAAATTGAACAAGTCAGGTAAAAGAACTAATGGCCTCAATATTTAATTAGCAAAGTATCTAGTGGCCTCAGTAATAGTGACTTTCTCAAAGAGGCAATAAAAAAATTTCACCTCACAATTACAAGATTGCAGACTACATAGGCTAACTGGCTCAAGTCCCAGCTTTTCCAGCTCCTAGCTGTGTGTAGGCAAATTCCTCAAACCCCTTTATCTCCCTCACTTTCCTCAACTAAATTACTGTGTACTGTTGAGTTGGAATCAACCCATAGCTGACTCTCCAGCAGCTTTTCAAAGGCAGTAAATCACACAGAGGGAGACTGTTCATCCTTCTCCCTCAGAGCAACTGGTGGATTTAAACCGTGCCTTTGGGAATTCAGCACAGCTTTTAACCACTAATTCACCAGAGTTCACTCTATAGACTAATAATGTAATTTTCCTTCTAGGATTCTTTCTTTTCTTTCTCCTAGGATGTCTGAGAAGATCAAACATACTAATTTATTTGTAGCATGTAGAACAGTGTCTACAGCATGATAAACAGTATAATAAACATTATTATGATTTTAAAAAACAACTAGATCATGGTATTCTCTTCAAAATTTTCAACATGCACATCCAAAGGATTTCTACAGGCCCAACACCAATTTGTTTGATGATAAAAGTCAGGTATAACAGTGAGATGCCAAATGTCAGGGCCAGACAGAAAGATTTTTCTAGAGTCTTGAGCACCAAGTCTTAGCTCAACATCTATCTGGTCTCTGTTAAAATCATACAAATTCGGAAAAAGTGAGATGTTTACCACCTTAAGTCAGGCTAAGACATGAGTGAGTCAACAGACTTACTGAGATGGAATTGCACAACTTTTGTTTGGAATGGCAGTGAGGAGCATCAGAAATGTTTAAAGCCTTTCCAAGATGAAGGGAAAATTATTCAGATAGTTTCAAAAATCTTTATTTAGCTCTCTGACATAGTCTATGCCTGTTATATAAAGCTAAATTCCCAGTTCCTGCTCAAGCTCATCAAAACTCTCCTGTAGTCACTGGGCAAGTTCAATTCCTGTGAAAACACAGGCTGACACTGGCAGTTTGTTCACTTGCTCACAGCCTGGTCAGTCTGTCAATAACAAAAGCAAGATCCAGGAACCACCACTGAACTTGAATTCTACCATTCTGGGTGCTTTTTAATAGTCTGAAAAGTGAGCGCATTGGTGTCATTGGTAATAATCTGCAGAGGATACGCACGCTGAGTTCTGCACGATGATATCACCCCCTCTGATCCACGCTCCATTATCGTTATTTTTAAAAGCGATGAGTCGATCAATCACGGCAGCAACACGGGGCTTCTCGGGATCCGCATCCTGATGAGGCCGAAACCTTGGAGAAAAGGCAGGTAGACTTCTTTGAAAAATGATAAAAGGGTAATGAAAATGAGCTGTTTATAATTATGAAAGTAAATGTCAAGAAGCAGGATTACATTTGACCAAAAGAAAAGCAAAAAAAAATCTTGGGAGACAACTTAATTATTGTTGTTGATTGCTGTCAAGTCAAGCACAACTCATAGCAACTCTATGAACAAAAGGCCGGGAGCCCCTCAACAACTATTGACATTTATCAAAGTTCACAGAGTTTCCAAAGGCATGTTGTTTAGGAAGTGGTATCAAATCCAAAGGAACATGTTATATTCTCTCACATATATCCAGAGAATTACTTTAACCATATTTTCATATTACTGTGGCTGTGTGCCATCAAATCAAAACTGACCCATGGGTGACCCTTCAATGGGTTTTCAGAGGTAATTAATTGCACAGTAGGAGACTGCCCGTCCTTCTCTAGATTTGATCCGCAAGACTTTGGGATCACAGCACAGATTCTTACCACTAGGCCACCAGAGAAAATGAATTTGTAATATGGAATGGATGTTGCATAGCATTCTAAACACTAAAACCATTTTGAAAAAATAAAACTCAGAACAGAAAATCCAGCATGTTTTTACAAATTCTTAACCATCATGATACTAACATAACCTTATTTTAAAAGCTCGATTATACATTTCATTGTGTGTGTGTGTGTGTGTGTGTGTGTGTGTGTGTGTGTGCTGCTGCACATGTGCAGATGTGTGTGTGTGTCGAATGAAACATTTAAATTGTATGATTATTTTATTTATTTACATTTGGGAAAGGAAACAACATAGTTTTCTTTTTTTAAAAAAAGTGTCACGAAAGCAACTGTCTGCTGTAACCATCTCAGCTTTTCTGACCCTCTTCTCAGCATAAACCCTTCTCTCCCTGTTGGTTATATTGCAGAAGCAGCCCTCATGTTGACAAGGTCACTTACTACAGGTGTCTTTAAGTCAAGTCTGTAAAGTCAAAATAGGTGCTTCAAGTTCTCAGCCACACTTCAGCCTTTCTCAGTGACTTAAAATCAAGGAGTGAAGCAAGGGTGACTGCAGGGGTTGATTCAATTGTTTTAAAGTGAGAGTGAATTTACATGACATTGAAAAGCAAGTGTGAGTCTTGAGAGTTGGACAACAGTAACCAGGGATCAACTGCACTTTCCTCTTTTAGTGTGCAAAAAATGAGTTAATTTTCCCAATTCATCGACATCATTTACAGCATTTCAAAATACTGCCCAACCCTCCCTAAAATCTGTTATTTTTACTGAACTAATTGAGTCTGACATTATTTCACTCTTTTAGGTGGAATTTCCCAGTCTCAATCCAAGAACTTTTTTGGGGATATAAATTTCCATTGTTGGATTCCTTTGTAATTTCACATCTAGAAGACACAGGAAAGAGTCATCTGATTAACTGCTGAGTCATCTTCCTTTTTTGATGAACACACGGAACATCTTCGAAATATCCCCATGTGGCTAATATTCAATCCATGGTGGTGGTTGTTGCGGACTGTCAAGTCAGAAACCACCTATAGATGACCGTCTAGTGGGGTTTTCAGAGGCAGTTAATCACATAGGAGCTGACAGTCTGTCTTTCTCCCACAGAACTGCTGGTGTGGATTCAAACTGCAAACTTTTGTGTTAGCAGTGCAATTCTTTACCACCAAGTCACTTGAGTTCCCTTTAATTCATAGAAGTGCTAATTATTTGTTTATAATTTTATAATATTATCATTTTAATTATGTTTGAGTTCTCCTAGTTTGTGTGGGCATAATACATATATTAGAAGATATAAAATCAAATAAAAACAAGCTACCTCAATGTCTTGTTATTCTTTTTATAAAATTAGTTCTTCTTATTGACAACTTTCATTTGTAATTTGATTCCATATCCGTATGAACTTATAAAACCAGTAAGAGTGTTAAGGAAGAGTAGAAAAAAGTGTAACATTATCCTAATATCATATATACATGTACACTTGATTTAAAAAAAATTAAGATATCATGGGTAAATTGCTTTATTTCTTAATTTGTCAAAATCTAAAATACCACTGGATGTTTAAAAAATATTTATTCATTTAATCACTAATTATTTTAAAATTGCCCTCAGACTCTGTTTCTCAACAGCTAAGTGACCACTGCTTTAAAACATTTCCAATTCAAGCTTATCTTTAAGGAATCCTGGTGAGTAATTTTACTAACATTTTCCTAGCACTCCCTTGACCTCAGGACTTACTGATGTGTCACAAAAATCTTGTCTCACACTTGAGTCAAAACTACATGTGGCTCTGAATTACTCTGTTATGTCTGGTGTTTCAGATCTGTTGTACTTTTTCACAGGAATATCAACAGAGGCAATTAAATCTGAGACCCTCTGAACTGCACTGGCTGATAAATCATCTTGATACATAAATAGCACTTGGTTTCTACAGATAGGACTTTATGTTGGCCATCTCTTCCAGAAAATCTCATTTCCACCTGAGAAATTTTATTTCTTTTGGCTCGCTCAGAGGATGTTAAGAGAATTTTGCTGATATGCCAATCTACATCCTAACCACATTTTGTGGTTTTAAAGGAGAATAACACGGAGCCCGGGCCTGATGTGGATATGAGACCACAAACCACTGGAGCAGAACCAGCTTGGTCATCAAGTTGGGGAGCCGCTACTTGAAACAGTTTTACAGAAATATTCCACTCAGACCACTAAGAATTAATTGTATGTGCTCTGGCTTTCAGGGGATTAGACAAAAACATGATCTTAGTTTAACTTGTTATTTAATGAGTCATAGTCTTAAAACAGGGCAAATTTAGGCTCATTTCACCAGATCCCCTTTTCCCCCCTCTTTCTACAACTCTTTCTAACATCAATATACAGGTAGTGCTCAGTCTCAAGAAAAGCAGCAACTTCCTCTTTGTTATGTTAATAAAAGCCCAGGCACAGAGCCTAGAACAACACTATAAAACGTTTTTCCAAATTCCTCCTTATAACTTTCAAAACTTCATTTTAAAGCTTTGTCACAAAAAAAAAGGGAACAGTTTTTGCTCTTGTGTGATTCTTGGGATGTTACTGTTGTTATGTACCACTGAACTGGAAGTGACTCACAGCTGACCCTCCAAGGGGTTTTCAGAGGTGGTAAACCACATGGTAGGAAACTGTCCTTCCGTCTAGCTGGTAGATTCGAACCATGAGCCTCTGGGTCAGCAGAACTAAGATATGTCTGTGGCACATGATTTATTAAACAAGCTCTACCTTGCACTGTTATCCAGACAGAGGTATTCTCGTGGGTCAGCAGCACTGGCATTGGTTGTTTTAACACCTTTGTCAATAAATAAACCAGCCTGAAAAACAGAAATACAGACTGAAATGAGTATATATTTCAGCTTACTGCTTTTACCAAAAAAGGTTGAGATAAACAGCAAAATAAAAGTTTTGCAGAAATGGTTACTTTCCCCGATATTTTTATCATTTTACTTAGTTGGCAGTGCCAACTCCTTACCACTAGACCACCAGAGCTCCTTAGAAATTCATTACCTAATGCATCATCACCTAGTCCCTAGAAATGCATCTCAAATTCAACTCACTGCCGTCAAGTCAGAACTGACTCATAGCTGACCCTCCGGTGGGCTTTCAAAGGCTATAAATTGCATAGGAAAATCTGGTGGTCTAATGGTAAAGAGTTGTGCTGCGATCCCAAAAGTACACGGTTTGGATCCACCAGCTGCTCTGCAGGAGAAAGATGGACAATCTCCTCCCATGCGATTTACTGTCTCTGATAACTCAATGAAGGGTCACCTAAGAGTTAGTGTCAACTCAAAGGTAGACAACAAGATAAACTGCATGGGGAGAGACCACGTATCTTTTTCCCTTACAGTTGTTGATGGGTTCAAACCAACAAAGAAGTGGCCCTTTGGGTCAGCAGCACAACTCTCTATGCCAACCACACCACCAGAGCTCCCTCCAGAAACACGTACTAGCATTAAAGATTCAAAAGAAGGTGGGACCAGGAATTCAAAAGAGCAACGAGGAGGGAGACTTAGAAACAGAGAAGATGGAAACACCAGGGGCAAACCTATTACATAATCAGAAAGCATGTACTCCGTGTTGGTACATATTCATACATCTGAATACATGGAGTGTTATACAAGCCTCAAGGGCATAAAACGGTTACATGTCTGCATTTTTTTAATCACAAATTATTTTTTCATGACAAGTTCTACCAAAGCCTGCTGCTTTTCAGCTGTAATCACCATACACAATCCTTTACTCTGTGAATCATACAGAGCAATTACTAAAACATGGGCACCAACCTTAAAACTGGAATGGACACGATTGTTATAAAATATACCGAGCGGGGTCAGTTCTGGTTTCTCTAAGAGTTGCGCTCCACTGGATTCTCCGGTAGCTTCCTTGTGGAATAAATACCATATTCCAGCATCCTACAAGTGAAAGGGCAAGATCATTAAGAATCTTATAAAGTCACTCTGAAACATCCTTCTCACTTCACAATCAGGCTTCATCTCTTTGACATTCATTTTTTTTTCATTTTTACAGTTTATTAACCCCTGTAAAAAATTGTGTGTGCAAGTGGCTGCACAAAGGAGTTATTTTATGTCTTCTTTTTTTTCCCTCCTCTTCTTTATGTCTTTTTGAAAATCAAATTTGTTAAAGGGTTAGAAAAAAGGAGCAGTAGAATGGGTTAGTAACAAAACTGATTTTTAAAATAAACTTCTCCATTGTTACCTTCTTTTAAAAAACTCCACAGAAGCTCAAAACAAGCAAGCCTTCAATGTGACCAGGATCACACAGTCTTTCAACAGAATGGTTTATCTTGTTTACTTCAAATCTGATCAATAGATGACTCATGCCTATTAAACAACTATGCCGTGGACATGAAGTGTTCACTGACTTCTTTTAAACCACTCCAATGCCCTTTCTGTCCTGAGGCAAATTTTTGCCAAAGGAAAAAAAAATCACCACATGCATGAATTGGGATGCTGTCTCTGTCTAAATCGTGCCCATTCGATCCGATGTTACTGACTTGAACAGGAACTGCAAAGTTTCAAATATGCTGACACTCAAAATGAGATATTAAAAATGGAAATACATTTATTTCCCCTGATTAGTTTTTTCTTTTAAATTTATTTAGACATCAACTCAAAGGATAACTTCACATTATGCATCTTACACTAGACAGACTAAAATTTACAGATTAAATGTGAAAGAACAGTCTTGAGACAAGATTAAAATGAAGAAAACATTTCATGCCCAGTATGTGCCAAGTGGAGCCCTTGAGTGATGAAAATGGTTCACTGACAGGTTAGAGGTTTGAGTCTGTCCGAAGACTCTCCTTGGAAGAAAAGTCGGTGGACCTCTTTCCAACTCAGCCATTTGAAAACAGTTCAGCACACGTGGTGCCAACATGGCCGGAATGAACTTGATGGCAACTGGCACTGGTTTACGTGCAAAGTCAGGCTGAATTCTCAAGAGTTCATTGTCTAGCGGTAAATACAGAGATCACTAAAATATAGGTAGTAAACTCAACTCAGATCATTGCCATCAACTGACTCATAGCTGACCATCCGGCACATTTTCAGAGGCTGCAAGTCACACGGAAGGAGAAAGCCCATGTCTCTTCCGGGAGCAGCTGGTGGATTTGAATCAACTGCCTTTGGGCTGGCAATGCAACTCCTTGCCCACATGCCACCTACATGCGTAATGAGTACTATTAAAAGTAATGTTAATTATATACATTTTTAAAAGCCTAATGGGTGGAGTGACAGCATAGGAGACCCCAGACGAGATGGTTTGATACAATAACTGAAGAAATGAGGTTACGTGTGTTGGAATCAGTGAGACTGGCTCAGGACAGGGCAGGCTTCACAGATGCCGAACATAGGGTAGCAGGTAACGTAACACATAACAACATAACGACGACAGCACATAACAACAACAAACAGTGGTACAATAGTTAAATGCCTATTAACCAAAAGGCCAGGTGCTCGAGCCCCGCACACAACAGTGCTCACAGGACAAAGGCCTGGCAATCTGCTCTGTACTGTCATTTGCTAATGTGCACGATCAAATAGACTCCTACTTACAGCGACCCCAAGTGACATAGTAGGGCTGACCCACCGGGATTTCCAGACTGCAATCTCTACATAAGCAGATCCTATGTCTTTTCTCCTATTTAGAAGCTAGTGGTTTTGAAATGCTGACCTTTGGGTTAATCAAGTGCTTAACCACTGAGTCACCAGAGTTCCTAAAAGGAAAAAAAATGGTGTCTAGGAAATGGTACAGGACAGTTCTACTCTGTCCTTTAAGGTTTCTATTTCTGAATCAACTTGATGGCAACTCAATAGCATATGTTATGTATAATGCATGGCACAAACCGTTAAGAGCTTGATGACTACATAAAAGTCTGGCAGTTCAAATACATCCAGAAACATCTCAGAAGAAAGGTCTGGTGATCTGCTATGAATAGCAGTCTTGAAAACTCAATGGAGTGGTTCTTCTCTGCACATATGGGGTCACCGTGAGTTGGAACTGAATGGACAGCAACTAACAACAGCCACTTTTAGTATTATATTCATTACAGCAAACAAAATCTTTGAAAACAGAAAGCAAAATGAAATGTGGAAAATGTGTGTATGTGTGTCAAAGAATTTAATACTTACTCATTATGAAAGTGTACAGATGTATTTTAATAACTCAAGCAATGTGTGTACCATCTCCACTCTTCAATATAAAACAGATAATTCAATGGAAGAGTACTCAAGAAGTACTGGGTACTTCTGGGTACCCAGCCTTGACAAGAAGGCTTGGTACCACAGCCCAAGAAACTGAGGGCAAACAGAACCTTCCTGGAATGGCAAGGCTTCTGGAGTGAAGTAACAGCTGTTTCCTGTTAAACACACTGTGGTGTCAAAATAGGCAAAGGGAGCTTTGTGAAAGGCAATGGAAATGTACAATGAAGAAAAGGTTTGATTTATTTGCGAAGGAAAAGTCCTGTCAAAATACTACCTTCACTGGAATAGTTTTTATAGAAAGGAAGGGAAAAAAAACAGGTTCACAAAATAAAAGAGGAAAGACATACATGAGCTGAAAATTTAAACCTGCTTTCTTCTTTTCTTATAAGTAAGCCAGGAGTCTCAAAGGCATGGGTGCTCCTGCCTTATATTTTTCATGATTTGCAGTTTTCTTTGGCCTTCAACTGAGGACTTTCAGAAACAGCTGGGAGAAATCTCAGCCTGGCTGATCATTTCTAGATTATTCATCAACCTCTCAGCTCATCTTTATCCCAAAATTCATCTTTGTAGATACATGCTCCATGCACAAATCACATAAGTGCTCAACAAATATTTGACAAGAATTGAATGAATAAAATCTGAAGTGATTAAATATCCAGAGCTCTGCCTTGTCAAATAAGACTCTTTCCCTGACAGGGCATCTTCAGTTTATGTTTTAAGGAAAATCACAAATTTAAGTTCAACTACCCCTCCAGCTAGCAATGACGATAATCTAGTTCTTCCCAATATTCTTTTGGAATAATCTTTTACTTCATCCCAGGAAATAATGCCAATTATTTCTTTTTTACTTCATAAAATGTTTATTACTTGTGACATATAAGTTGATGGCAACTAACAAGTTATTAGAATTAAGTTATTAACCACAGAGATGAAATTCCCAAGAGGATATAATTCCTGAATTTAGCAAGAGGATGTCTGTGATCCTTGACCAGACAGATAATGGTCCCTGTGTTTTACTTAATAATCCATTTACATAAAGAAAAGTTAAAGCGTTCTCTGTTCACCAACATTAAAAACGGAAATCACCAGCTACCTTGCCACATGTGACTTAAAGTGGAGAGGTCAGAAAGACCATAAAAAATACACTAAAATCCCTTCTGGAAATGGGATGACAGCTATAGAGATTAACCCACATTCTCGCGTCCATTTGGCATCTATGTTATACATAATATACTCCCGGACACTACCTGGCACAAATAATAAGAAACAGAAGCACCATTTCCACTATGCCTTACTTTCATTTAAAAAAGTAGTATCAGAAACAATGTCAAGCTTGGGTCACCTTGACACACATCACTGCACCCCGCTTATTGCAAATCAGCATCATTATAAACAGGAGCGACAGTAAACAATCTGAAATCTCTTCCCTCTGATTTACCTGTGAGCCGGCAGCTGCGTTATTTATCAGATTATTGTTGGGATGAGCGATCCAGAAAGTTGAAACAGCCCTGCAAGGTATTTTTTAAGGTGATTTAAACATTCTTTGTGAAAAACCCTGCCCACTGACAACTTCCCCCAAAATATCTTCCCCAAATATCAAAAGCCTTGGCCAACACACATGACATTTTCTTTCTGCCAGTTACTCACATACAGTCGGTGGACGGCACGGGGATGTAATTTCCAAATACTTTATCACGGATGGCGATACACATGGAGTTATTCCTGTCGGTAGGGAGAAGGGTGCTGGGCTTGGTGAGAAGTCCAAGATTGTGAAACAAAGTATTTCTCTGTTCAATACCATCCTCCAAAAAGAAACAATGACCCAGTGTGTCAAATCCAATGGTGTCTTTTATCTGTAGAAACACAAGTATATAATATCTTGGTCACAAGATTGATTGTCATTAAAGTGACAAGTACTATTCAGTGTGGCATGCTTAGTACAAATGCAAAAAGAAGTTTAAATCTTCACAGAAGCAGCAAAGACAAATATCAGGATTTATTATCACTTAAGTAGCTAACGGTGTGGGGTGGGCAAAGCTTGAAAAATAGGCTTCCCTCTGAAAGAAAAAGAGTAGAATTAGCAAAAGCAGGAGAGAATAAAGCATGTAGTGGGGCAGTTTATTTATAACTAGGAAGTCACGAGAACAGGACAGTCAACGGTCTTAGTAATGTGTCAGAATTACCAGCAAGCCGTTCGTCCCGTGCACAGTGATGCATCTTGAGAAGCTATGATGAATAGACAGGCCATCCACAAACGTCGCGTGTCTGTACCCTCCTCTGACATCCACATCGCCACACAGGTGGAAATGGACAGGATACCGGCCCAGGGCCTGCTGACCCATGTGTTTCAATTCCACATAAGAAAGATGGACAGAAGTAAAATTCTTCTTTATCTACAAAACAGAGTAACCCAAGTCAAAGTTTATCTCCTAGGGGACAAAAGAGAAGTAACAAGAAATATTTTACGTAAAAACAGAAATATCTACATAGGTAGCATGAACATCTGAAGGAGAATATTTTTAAAACTTTCATTTCTTTGGAAATTTAAGAATGTTTTAACTGCTTCACCTTCCACAGTGAATATGTTTAAAAGCCACCAAAAGTAGTCTCCAATTATGAACAAGAGATAATATAAATGTGAGAATCCCAGAAATTATGTCTCTATATGTGCTCTTTGATTTGTTTAAATATTTTTATCATTTCTAGTCTCATGTTTTTATTTCACTTCTGTATCCACCACCACCATAACCTGATGGTTATTTCTAAATGTTTGGTCAATGTTTAGTTAGTACATAATCTAATGTACTTCTTTTTTAACTCTTTTAACTCCCTTGAAGGTTGATCACAAGTATTTTCAAACACTGGATTTTCAAATATGTTAATAAAAACAAAGAAATAACCCTGACCAACATTTCAGAAATCAGAACAAGGAAAATGTGACTAAATACCATTCAACAAAGAAAAACTAATTTTAAAATACCTACAGGCACAATGCAGTCCCAAAGTCATTTTTTTTAAAATTGGAATATATGAACTTACCTACCTTCTAGTAAGTACACACTACATATATATTAAACAACAGAGCTATACTTCTACATACAAAAATAGTTTTGTAGAAAAATGTTTTGTATGTGTGTGCTACTATACTACTCATTTACTAATAATCTTAATCCATCCTTTTAGATATTTGCATACATCAATACCAAAGGTCATTAAATTTTTGTGTGTAATTGTTTCCTTCTAATGTATTTATTTCATTCTTTATGACATCATTCTTAAATGCTTTAAGTAGAGGTCCAGATCAGCTAAGGTAAGTTGCAAGTTCCTCTCTTAATCACTTACAGTTGCCTGATTTATGATTATGTTGAAGAGAAAAAATGAAATTTCTTTTTCATGTCTATATACATTTTATTCCAAAACCCGAACTTCTCCGCAAGCACACATTTAGCAGCCAGGATTCGACATACCATGACATGTCCCCCAAAGGTATCAAAATCAAAGAATTGGCACTGGTTTTCAGCATAACAAGAGTCCTCCATCTCTCCTTGGATTACAACATTCCTGGTGAGAATTCCCACCTCAGCTCGCATGTCCACACCATCTACAATCTCTCCCATGTGCAGGAACTGAGGTGTTTCTGGTTGATATGAGCAAGAGGAAAAGATATTAAAAAAAAAGACAGTATTATGGTTCTTTCAAGGATATTTCCCCTCCTTCTAACTCTGCCCTCTCCCAACAAGACTAAGTCAACAGTGTGTCCTCTTTAGGGCCATTCTCAAAGAAGCTCTGGTCATGCAGTGGTTGAAGCACTAGGCTGCTAACCCAGAGGTCAGTGGTTCATATCCACTAGCTGCTCTGCAGCAATCTGTGACCATGAACATTATGCCCTGGAAACTTTATTGGACAATTCTGCTTTGTCCTATAAAGTCACTCTGAGTCAAAACCAACGTGCCAGCATTATATTTGGTTTCTGGGTTTAATGCCATTCTTTAAAACCTCCAAATCAAAGAATGCCAGGGAGCAGATGTTTTAAAGATTATCCATCCCACTTCCTATCTGACATCTGAACTCTCGCCAGCAATTGTCCTGTCAATGCTGGAGCTCACGTATAGATGGAGAACTTGCTCCTCTGAAGTAGCACAATTCATCACTGAAGACCTCTAGCAATCTGACATCTGTCAATCCAGACAATACTTCTTACTTCCTATACAAAATTTTATTCCACTTCCCTGAGGGCAAATGAATATCAAAAAGAATGGCAAACCGAGAAAGACAAGGATTTAGTAGATCTTGATAGCAGGGCCTAAAGTGGTTTTCATTTCTATTTCAACACTAAAGTTATCAGCATTTGGACACTGGCAGTTCCAAAGTTACGATATTTTCTCTCCCAACATCTTATATATTGTTTTACATTTCCACTTTTCTTGAAAGTCTAGAAGAATTTTAATATGAGTTCCTATGATGTTCACATTATAAACTCAGAAGGGGAAAGTATAAATAAATCATAAGAACTAAGGCCACAAAGACTCATTATCATGTAGACTTGTTAACAAGAGTGGGAATTTCCAGAAGAATTAATGCCAGATGGTATCATGATTTTTTTTAAATTTCTACTTCTGCCCAGTATTAACAAGAAGGAAAAATACAACAATAAATAAAACAGAGAGAAAATGTGCCAAATGTCCTGTTTTTTGTCAAAGTAGAAAATTTTCCCTTGCACTTTAAAACTCTAAATTACCCATCAAGTGAGCACTTACTGAATGGTAATTGTAAACTATTTTTGTTTTCTCTCATAAATGTATATAATCTCAAACACGGAAGCAAAGGAAAACATGCAGAAAGGGAACGGCACAATAAATCCTGTAAGTGAAAGAAGGCAGTCTCCTGGGCCAGGGGAACCTCAACATAACGGTGAGAGACAGGGTTTTATGAAAATATCCTTTTGGTTACATTTGAAGGATTACAAAACTTGTTTTCCACCAGACAAGTAGGCACTCAAAAATTTATGGGACTTTATAGATTAAGAAGAAAAAAGTATATTTTTAAAGGGATCTAATACATAGTTGATTTACTATTATTTGATAGTGAAAAAATTAATCAATGAGAAGCTAGAAAGAAACCTGGACAATTGTTTCAAGTCCCCATTATTTTTTTTCCTTTGCAAAGAAACTGAGGTACAGAAACCATTTTTGTCTGTTACATATCATTAAAGGAGCTCTGGTGGCCTATTGGTGAGAAACAGCACTACAATCCCAAAGACATGCAGTTCAAATCCACCAGCTGCTCCACAGGAAAAGGATGGGCAGTCTCCTCCTGTGCAATTAAACTGTCTCTGAAAACCCACTGGAGGGTCAGCTATGGGTCAATTCCAATTCAATGCTACACAACAACATATATCATTAAGAGAGAGGTCTGACGGCATTATCTGTAGGGAAGTGTTTTGCTAAAAACCATAGACCATGACTCTGGTACTGGGAATCCACCAGTGGGATTTCTCAGAAAGACAAGGAGTCTCCTGTTGAATTTACAACTGTGGAAACTCATTAGAGTCAGCTATGACAACAATGAGAGACACCTATCACTAACAACAAAACAGCTGCTCAGTAACTACTTTGATGGGTATCCTATGGAAAAAGGAGTTCAATGCACTCCACAGCTAAGAACTTGAATATGGAGACGATGCTGATAAGAAGCATTTGAAGCACCATATCTAGAATACAGACAGGTGTTTCCCGAGAAGTACTCAGCAATCTACCTTTGACTTTGACCTGGAAGCGGCTGCACTCAGGACAGGGGAGAAGTGTGAACTCCTCTGCTTGGTACATGGAATAGTCAGTGCTAGCGACCACAATCTGGTCTCCAGGCTCCCAGCTGCCAACATCATCCAGCAAGTGAAGTATCACTCCATCCACAACCTCCACCCGGAAGCTTGAACGGGAAACACCTAAAACAAAACAAAACAAAAAAAGAGAGAGAGAGAAAACGATGCATTAACAGGAGCCATTCTTTGTCTAATATTAAGCTCCTTACAGAGTTACAAATAAACAGTATACCAATGCCACGCATGGGCCATTTACTCTGCAGACACTAATGGCGAAAAAGATGAAAATATAACTCCTTATCCTCAGAAAGTGAAGCTTAACCAGGTGATTGACACGGTGACTGCCACAAAGGGCTCTAGTGTGTTAGGAAGTGTGAGGATAGCACAAGAAAGGACAGGGTTCAGATATGTTTGTTGTTCACAGGGTCGCTATGAGTTGTACTTGACTCAACAGCACCTAACAACAAGCCTCACAAGGAGAGGGCATACCTGGCCATTTGGGATATAAGATAGCATCACTTCAGCAAGCTATCTTTTAATAATTTTGAAGAAAGTTTTAGGTTTCTAAATCTCTTTACATATTTTAACTCACAGCTTTAATCGTAATGCTGACCCCACGTAATCAGAACAAGAACACTGCCTTTTCAGGTAGGAGTTCTCAAGCACGTAACAGGGCTGTGAATAAACACGCAATGCTTTCATTTGACCCAAGCACAGGAGTCAGGATGGGAACAGGCTTTCTATCTTACTGCTACAAATAAAAGCTTGCCTTTAGAAAGGACTTCATTCCCAGGTGCCTTTGCTCATACTATAGTATTTTTTTTCCTACTCTTTTTTCACCAGCCATAGTACTTTCTCTCTTCTAAAATTCAAACATATGTTCCTTCGTCCTTCTCAGATGCTCTGCTGGAGAAGAAGGGGCAATCTCCTCCTGTACCAGTCAGATATGATTTGAAGGTACACGTACGTGTACACACACACACACACACACACACACATACACACACAAATAATAAAATTATTTTTAAAAAGCAAATTCTTTCCCCATCTTTTTTTAATGCTTGCTCCATTTATATGCTCCAATCAGCTCCATTCCAGAAGTATCCAGTTACCCACATTAAAACAACACCTAAAACCTCCACCGGAGGCTGAGCCCTGGAGAAACAATGCTCAGGACCCATATTCCAGACCTGCAGGATGGAACACAACTCATCAAGCCATAAAGGGGAACCAACGACAGTGTCTATGAGGTGCCCTTGCCCCTTTCTAGGAACTAACGAGGAACCAACGGCAGTGTCCATGAGGCATCCTTGCCCCTTTCTATGAACAGACACCTGCTTGGGCCTGGGGAAAGTGTGCAAACATGAGTATGTCACGCTGTGTGCCAGGGATGGCACAGGTGGCAGCCCACAACTGTGAAGTCCTGAAGGCTTGCCCTGCTGGAGGCAGCCCAGTGCCAGGGGCAGTCACACCACCTTGCAGGCTCACAAGGACACCAACGGTTCTCAATACAGTCAATCTCCTGAATGAATGTCTTGACGATTCTTTGAGTCGGTTGATTTTATTGAACTGACAGCTTCGTAAATGCTATGCTGCAGGGTCCTCTCGGCTCTTTGACTGCCTGGACCTCCCTATCTGGAGAGAAGTACCTTCTCCTATGGCTACTCTCTCTGTTGAGATCCACTCTTTTCAGTGTTTTAACTAAGACAGCTCACCTCAAGTGCTGTATCAGTGAGGGCAGCTGAGTTTTTATATTTGTGCATTTGCTACACCTCTGCTTCATAGGACAGATGTGGAAATGTTTACTGGAAGTGGAGAAGGCTCCCAGGTATGATCTGCAATGCAATCCGCGCCAGACACAATGAGATCCCTTCTAACTGCATTACTTCCTGGGCAATGGTATGTAAAACTATGATTACGAATTACTGACCTACCACTTTCTTTCAAAATTCAGAGCTGGCTCCCAAGAAGGCTAACAAAAGCTGAAATGCTGAGCTAATTTCTCCACCACTGATATTTCCTTTACACTCAATCAAATAAAAGTGTTTCAAAGCCCATGATAGAGTCTATCAAATGCCAAAAACTGATGTCATGGATCTATGGACAGAGAAGGTCAAAGCATGGGCATGTCACTGGTAGAAGAAGAAAAGAACAACACTGTGAAAACTTATCTATTCCTCAAACATCTGTACTTACCACCTTTCTTTAATGAACTGGCACCTTACTTGGGAATTATGTTAAGAGGTTCACACAAAGAGAAGATGATATATGTGTAAAAACACATTTACTTAAGTTATGAGAACCAGAGGGAGAACAGTAAGAGATTGTTAGAGCCTTGAACCAATGATCCTGAGAAAACTTAGCATGAACAAGCCGTGCATGGTATAATCTTTTAGTCTCTGATCTACTCACTTCTGTTTCTACATGCAGTACTTAAAAAAACAGAAGTGGTTTTTTAATTTTTCATTGTTAAACATTTTCTCCCCTTCTCACCTCCCCCTGCCCAACCCACCCTGCAATAAATAATGAAAGTACTTTCATTATGTTTCCTCTTTGAAGAGACTAAAACCTATGGGCTTTGTTCAAAATGAACAATAATAGCAATAATACTTAGTATAGTAGAAATTAATAGTTATGGAGATTTCACACATTGACAATGACATCTTTTCCTCAAGACAACTTTGAAAGACAGAAACTATTGCAGTCATTAAAAATGAGAGACCAAAGCTCAGTGGGTTCTGAATAAAAAATCTCAAACTCGAATTTATCGCCGTCAAGCCTGAACCAACTGCCCCTCCAACAGGTTTTCTGAGGCTATAAATGATACAGGAGGAGAGAGCTCATTCATCCTCACAGAAAGTCTGTTGGATTGGAGCCTACAGCACCAGAGTTCCCAAAGTGAGTTTGCACAGCAGCAAAAAACAAGTCAGGTCCTAGAATTGACTGTAACTCTAATTCTAGGTGTTGATTTTATGAAATGAAAGAGGCAAGTTAAATACAAAGATAGGCAAGCTCTGGTGGCCTAGTGGCAAGAAGCTACACTGCAATCCTAGAGGCAGGCAGTTCGAAACCACAGATGCTCTGCTGGAGAAGGAGAGACAATCTACTCCTGTACCAGTCAGATTCGATTTGACAGTACACACACACAGAGAGAGACACACATAAACACACACAAACAGCCAAAAAACCACAAAGATAATAAAAAGTCATACAACAGAAAAAATACTTAGGCAAATTTTTAATAATATCAATTCCCCTTTTTTCATTCATGTGCTGTTTTATACATTCATTTACATACATTGTGTTTCTAAAATTCATTACTATTTTTCCTTTCCCCCTTTTTTCATCCCCTTTCTAATCTTCTTCCCCTTCTGAAGAGTTATATATATATATCCTGTCCCTATTTGCTCATAAAATTTTCTATTTTGAAGCAAAAAAAAAATCCCCTAAAAAGACAGAACAAATATTATTTTTCCAATAAGTAACGTCAACAATATTTAAAAGAAAAAGAGTGGAAAAAAGTTTGGATGCAAAAGAACAGTAGAATTTGACTCTTTATTTCCCTTTAATTATACATTCATGGAATGTTTATTATCAAATGAGCCATTTATATTTTCACAATTTATTTTTTAAAAAGTAAGCAAAAAGTTATATGCAGAAGATATGTGCCGTCAAGTTTCAGCACTGGAAAATTCTTGGTAAAAGGCCAAAGACAGATATGTTCCAGGCTGAAACCTGAGTGTTTATATGCGGAAGATATCTATCATTTACTCATCTTTTTGCTGCTGTTAAAAGAAACTCCTGCCAATATTATCTCTTACTAGCAATGAATCAGAAATGAGAAAGGAAGTAAGTCCATTCTCTCTGCATCCTGGAAAGAATGCCTACCTCTTCCAGAAAGTAGGAGTCATGAGAACATGAGATACAAACAATATCCTACAGACAGTTAGAACTTACTCTCTTCCAGTAATGAGCAGTAACCAGTTCTGTGGAAATGAAAGCATTTCCCGTAGAGGAAATGTTGACTCTAAGTCAGGTGGTAATTATGTTCTGCCTGGAATCCATCTTGAAGATCTAGTACCACTAGTTTCTCCATCCAGGGCCTAACTTCTGCTTGGAAATGCTTCTCATCTACCAGTTTTTCCTGCCAGAAGAAACCATGGTTGTGGTGTTTGCTTAAAAGCTGGCTTTTCTAAGGGAGCTCTGGTGGTCTAGTGGCAAGACGCTGCACTACAATCCCAGAGGTATGCGGTTCAAATCCACCAGATGCTCTGCTGGAGAAGGAGGGGGCAATCTCCTCCTGTACCAGTCAGATCTGATTTGACGGTACACATAAAAATAATACAATAAAAAAAAAAATTTTAAAAAAAAGTTGGCTTTTCTAAGCCATTACCTTAGCCCACTCTGGTCTCTAGCTACCTTAACTACATACACATGGTCTTGCAAATCATCAACAACTGTGGGACTAGGACAAAAGAGAAAGAAAAAGGGAACGGGAGGGAGAGAGGGAGGGAAAGAGAGAGGGCTTCCCACATTGAGCAGCAAGACTTGAGGGAGACTAGAACAAGACCCCGGTGACAGCAAGACCCTAGCGTCAACAGTGGTGGAAAAACTGTGGAGAGACTTTGGCAATGCTGTGGACAGACCCTCAAAAGGTGTAACCTGAGATTTCTTGCATTTGTGCTGGCCACAGTTAAAGATTTTCCTTGCTAGATGATTGAAGGAGAAACTGATCTATAACTGCTCTGAGGCAAACCTTGCTGGATGATTGAGGAAACCAGGGGCTTCTTCAATTAGTGTTGCTCAACTGACACCAGGACTTTTACTAATTAAGGCATTGTGTTTTTCTGTTATCTGGCTTGGGACTGTGGGATTAAGCCTGGGCTTGCATCATGAGATACTCTTTGCCTCTCCCACTCTCTAAACTATTTCCCTAATAAACCCCACTCTTGGTATCACAACTATAAGTAAAATTGGTGAGCCAACAATGAATACTGAATCCCGTGAGTGGTCGAAATAGGTGCAGGAGCATAGGGGTGATGTAGCTGACCAAGCAGCTATTTCTTTGCTGCTACGGACATTATTCATGGGGACAGATGCATCTGCTCCTTCTACAGTGGTGGAGAAGAATACTCTCAGGTGTCAGAAAACTAGGGCTTGATCTCAGCTTCTTCAGTGCATTAAACACCGCTGCCTTAGCCCAAACCCAGGTTTGTTTGGAAGTAACAAGAGAAAGTCCTTTTTACATACAGGGAGATCTATTTATTTATTTATCTGTTTTAAAGTAAAATAATTTCTGCTTAATTATAGTGATATATAAATATCCCAATATAACTCAACCAAATCATGTTTACATTATCATTAAAACATTCACTGAATGATTTCTGTATGTATTTCACATCACATCTGATGTTTGTAGCTACCCTACATATTAGTGTTTTGTTTTATTTTCAACACTTATATTTTAGATGAGGAAACCGAGGTTTGGAAAGTTAAAGTCATTTACCCACAATCATATGGTAGGTGAAATGAGCTAGGATGTAAACCCATGAACAATGGCAGTAAATAATTCGTGACACTGCTGCCAGAAAGAGGTAAAGTTTTCTGGTTATTAAAACAAGCGTCTCTTGGGGAATCACTGCACAGCATTTTTAGTCCAACATTTGGACATCATTGAGAGTCACAAATTCACCCCTGGAACCACAGAATCCAGCAACAAGGCAGGTAAATGAAAAAATTCTACAAGAAACCTTCTTAAAAGGAGAGAAAAAAAATTAAAAGTATCCTAAACACCCAGTGTTAGGCATAATTAAAAAAAATTCTATTTTTCCTGTAAAATAGATTATCATTTAAAAATCTGTTAAAGAAAACATAAGCAGAGGCATAATTTTTAAGAACACATAATTCAGAGAAGAAAAGGGCAAGTTAAAACAAAATGGGATAAGGGGAATTATACAAGGATATAGATATAGATTAGATATAGATATATAGTTATAGATATAGATACATATGGAGAGATATAGATAAATACAAATTCTAGAATATCATGGATCAAAATAATTACTACTTAACAAAAGCGTTAAAGACTTTTACTTTCTTCTTTGTGCTTGTTGGTTTTGGGGTTCCCGCACCATTATGCCTATACAACAAACGTATCAGGTAGAGCATAAGAGAGGGGAAAATGGTAAGTTTGCAGAGCATCTGAAAGTAACATTTACTGGCATGTATATACAAAGAGGAGATCCAAAGTACAAAACAGTACTCACTGTCATGGAGCACAACCAGTCACACCCTCTCTATCACACACAGATGGGCAAAGCTGGCACCAACTCCAGGAATCTAATAAATGTCTGCCATTTAACAATAATATCTGGCTCAAGAATCAGAAACCAGGTTCAACCAGGGGGTGATCAAACTAAAATCACTCTGTGATCTAGAAAGAACATTTGTTAAAAAAAAAAAAAGAAAGAAAGAACACTTTGTGTCTTCAACACATAATGAGGAAATAATAGGTTTCACCCTCAAGTGGTTGAGAAATCAAACCAGGAAGAACGTCATTTGAATAGAATACTACTTATAAAAAATGTTTATCTTAATACCTAAATGTATCTTTCAAGAGCATAAATTGTACTTTCCTACCTTCAATCCATTCACTATAAGCTGTCACAGCAAATTTCTGACCATCCATGGTATAGAATTCTCCTTGGGCAAGAGCTTTCCCTCCACTACTGTGATTTTCATAGTTTCTCACAGATTCGTTGCAAGCAGCACTTCCACCATCAACGATACCAACTAAAGCCCAAGCTTGTCTAAAAGGAAGAAGAAGGTGTGCGTTTGATTATTTGTAATCAATCAAATAAATCCATGGCATACATATTATGGAGCTGCTTCAGCCTCAAATTTCATTTTGTTGTCAACCACTGTATTCTTCATGATTCTTTTTTTTTTTAAATAAGAAAGTCAAGCTCTATTGAAGAGAGAACTTATGAGTATTTCACTCTTAACACTAAGTTTCTTATTGTTAGGATTAACAGTGCTGTTTA